GTTTTGAAATCACTATAGTCCATAATTAGCCCGCGAAATAGAGTTTTCACGATAGCCTAATTTTCATACAAAACACAACTTTCAATATTAATTATTCCGGTTGAAATCTCGAAAAAGTAAAACACACTGTATAACTATCAGTTTGATGGTTAAGGTACCAAGCTTTGCAATAATAAATGTTCGTTGTGTACCTACAAATTGACTGTTAATGTTATATTGTTATTCGCAATATGCAAAATTACAAGAATATTAAAAGCACTGGCTTCGATTCCCTCGCTAAATTTTCGTTTCCGATTGTATTAATATTACACCCGCACCCAAGACATGGGTTCATTTCGTTTTTAGTACAAGCCTAGCTATTTACCATCCATTTGCACACAAAGTCGGCATTTCAGTCCTATCATCTTTACCGAATATGGCTGTGTTCAAAGTTCGATGAGTTGCGTACGTAAGAAAGTCTCTCGTTCCAGCTGTCGTGGTTTTCGGAAATCATCGGAACATCGTCGGTGATCTACGTATATGCACGATTATTTAACGAGTCACGTGGTTTGCGGTTTATTATCACCTCATTCTTCTGGTTGTTTCGTCTTTGGCTTATCGTTTGCGACCGAGATAATCAGAGATACATCTTATGTATCAATGAAATGAAAGCTTGCCGGTTAGTCCTGTTGTCATGGAACAGAAAATTCAACTATATATGTACATTTCTTTCATTTAAGAGGCTTTCTTTCACCCAAGAGGCTTTCTTCTAGCCGAACTTTTTTATTTCAACGTTCCAACATTCTTCACTTGATTTGCACGCTGCTTATACCCTATTTTTTGACCCACTATAAAATTTTAGAGCTTTGAAGGGACTTTCAAAATGCAGGAGGGACGTGGGAGTTGTTATGTATGCATGTGTTACAAAATGTCAGTCCATACCGAAGGGTTATATCTCTCGGTTGAGGAAAGAAAATTATAGACTTGTATAGTATCCTCCTGTGACAGCGGTAATACGAAGGCCTGATCGCGTAATCCACTGGATAGCGTTTTCCCGTAAATAGCTATAATGTATAGTTTAGTATTCTTGAAGTAATGTTTGTCTCAATTTGTTAAGACGATATTATATTCGTAGTTTTATTGCATTTTAAAAAATCTTAAAACGGTTGAAAAGTTATCATTCGGTGGAAAGCGCTTTCAAGCTTTTGGTTACAACCGACCGACTTGAGAAATGAGTAAGAATGGACCAAAAACTTTTTATTATCATGCATTATAAAAGCTAAAAGATGCATTGCAACAGCTTCCCGAAGTTACTGAGCTGTCGAATTCAATTTGACCCGGTTTTGTTATTCAGTAAAACATTATCACATTCTGCATTATAAAAAGCAAGAATGTGCAGTCTCAGGCACTTTTTCCCTTTCGAAGGATCTGTTTCAAAACAAAATTTTTCTTTCAAGATAATGTTTTATTGCTAAAGGCTTGAAAACAAACGCTTTGGTTAAACCGTTTGCACATGCACCGGCACTGGCTTGGTATATGAAACATCATACATTTATACAGTAGCAATGTTGATCATTCATATGCCCTAAATGCGGTCCTTATCACCCACTGATGTTATCACCTTGCAGCACAAAAGAAAGTACAACTTTCTCCAAGTTACCCGCCAACAGTCAAAGTATGATCTTATTTGGAAAATTTATGGTCAGTGGGAATTACAATTCGGCGGTATACACGTTTTACAAAGAATTCCCATGCAGAGGAATGTTTTCAGCCCGCCCGCTTTGAAAATCCTCTTTCCACATATTAGAAAATAAAAACTATAACTGACGAAATAAATGGGTTTTTAACAATAACAATGCATGCACGAAATGCGTGCAGTTATCCGGACCGGCTAAATTAAATTAAAGCAAGCTTTAAAACATGCAATTTACTACTTCGGGGGCATATTAGATGTTTTATTTTTTGCACGACATAATTCAAAACAATGGATTTTCACCAAACAAAAATCAACCTTGCACGAAGCTTCACCGACCTATTTTATAACGCATGTTTTCTGACATCGTAGTATTTACGTACATATTCCAAATAATTATTGGCAGAGACAACCTTTGCTTCATGCCGGACCGTTTGGCCATTTCAAATAAATATATTTGCATGCATGTTTTCCTTTAAGAATTGTCCAGAATTGCAAAGAATTTTCGGGCTTCAAAACTGCTTATCCTCACTATTAGAACCTCCACAGACTACAGGGATTTCGGTTGTCGATAACGTAGTCTGTCGTGCAAGTTATCAACGTCTGTATAAACTCCAAGATATTACTTGCTGTTTGCCTGAATTAAGTATGAATTTGACTGTTTTTTTTGAGCTAGTGAAGTTTGCAAAATCAAACATGCTATTGTCAAGATATATATAGCTATATACACCACTGCAGAATGATACAAATTCATATCACCTATATTTCAATCAATATAGTCAGTAACCTGAACGGCCGGTTAAATGCATATGTAAACTGCCTGTAGTCGAGATTTGTGTTAGAAAAATTAGATAGCTGATTCATTTATCATATGAAAGGCTTACCACGCACCGGCTTTTTTAATTTGAGGACAACAAGAAGAAGTGTCAAAAACACTCATAAATCATAACATCAGTCTGCAGACAAGTGGTCTCATTTACAACTCTGCTGTGTCATTGTGTAGAAAGGATCTTCTCTGTTCTCCACAGCCTCTTAAAACTGAATAGGCGGATCGCGATTTTGAGGTTTTGTAAATGACATTTCAGAGATATACTTGAATTAATGAGAATTAAATTAAGTCCGGGAAATTGAGTAAAATTTCATATCGAGTTATATGTCTGGCGCGTGCATAGCAAGGTACCAGGTACCTGAGAAAAATCGAACTACATGATTGGCTGTAATCAGGGATACTTGACTGTTAATATATAGTGCAAAAACTATGTGATTATACCTAATCCCACTTCAATGATGCAGAGCATGATCGGCGGTTTTTGGCACGAGACAGTCTTTAATCGGTGGTCTACGTTTGAGAACTAATTGTTGTTGAAATTCTGAGAAAATATTTCAACACACAATAGAGTTGATCTGCCATCGAAAAGACGTGCAAGCCAATTTTTATTGCGTTCTCGCCCTTTTGTAGACGTTTGTTGCATCAATGCAACTTCAGGTTTTTATAGTCGGATCAAATTCCTAGAAATTAGCAATCCAGTTTCGTATTTCGTTCGCGTAGATAGCGTATAAAAACACCAACGTACAACTTTACAAATTTCGTACCGTTTTTGCAAACTCCGGGTGAATGAGATACAAATTTTTTGTGTAATTTCCGCGCAAATGGAATAAATAAAGGCAGTTAGAATTTAGTTTATTCCCAAGTGTAAACAACATCACGTGCGGGTATTTCTGGAATGACTTTGCAAGTTGGATAAACTAACAAAAAATATACATCATTCAAGTAATAATATACTACCACGTTAAATGCAAAGCACAATAGCTCATTCTCTATGATGGGATAAATTATCTGTTTACTTTATGAGCAAATTCAGTTGCCTGTAAATCTGCAGCGCTCTGGAGGAAGCCTGTTAATCGATAACCTGTCGTCTGCGCAACTAATTGCGGGAAACTGTGAAGTACAGTCAAAGATAATAGAATTGTGTGGATAACCGCAAGCAAAATTTCCCATGCGGTTCGATGGGCCACAAATATTTCAAATGAGAGAATATTTTTCAGATATCTCCTGCGTGATTAGCTGCAACGTGCTGAGTTGATGGTCTGGACTCTGTCGAAGCGAGCGTAATTCACCTTCCGGCGTTTCGGTGAAATTATTTTGCATCTCTGTGATTTGATAAACAATAGAACGGATGCAATTGTCTCACTTTCACACAAAGCTTGTACATTTTATCGGTATCTTGTCAAGTATATAGTCACACAGTAGCGTAGCCAGCCTGTCGATTTGTCCCGCTATGCTAATATTTTTATGTTCACTGACTGTGAAAACAATAGATTTCTAAAGACATGAATAATCATAATAACTCGAAATTTACATAGCGGGACAAAATCGTCAGGCTGGCTACGCCACTGTAGTCACAAGCGATAAGCTAGAGCGATTGGAACAGCTCGTTATACGATGTCAACAACCTGCCAATGTGTCAACAAGCTTGAGCGATCAGGCACACTCTTTTTCCCGTTGAAATGAAAGTGCATGCAATGCTTTGCTTTGCTTTCACCCACTTCGGATCACTAAACTTGCGCGAATCACCTCGTCTACCGAATTACACTTTCTCAGTATAGAAAACAAATGTTTCGGTAAAACAATCCTTTCTCTATCGGGATGAATGAGAAAAAAACCATCTCTCTTCAAAATAATTTATTTCACTGTAAATATTACGGTATGTTTTGTGAGGGTGAATCTCGCAATAGAATAATAGTAGAACGAAATATTCTGGCCTGTCAAGTCTAATTGACCGTTTGGGCCAACCTTAATAATGAATATAGAAATATACTCAAGGAACTCAAAAAAAGTATTCAGATCTATTGTACGTGGTCTGCCAACTACTAAGGCATGCTACAGATACTGCAATGCGATAATTCAGATAATCTCTAACGGTTTTCATACGCGTTTTAAAGCCTGGTTTTCATATGTTATAATTGATCGGCGATGTTCTATGGTCTATTGTCGGTGATGAATGAAGTAAATAATATTCTTCGATAAACAAAAGGATTTTATGCACCAATGAGCACCGACAATAGCCATCGCCGATGAATTACGACACATGAAAACCAGGCTTAAGGACTCCCAAATCATTTATCAAACCGCAAAAGAACTGGCGAAAATGATGAAAGGCCAAAATCAGAAATCGGTGCAAGTGAAGTCTGACTAGTCGGTGTAAAGCACTGAAAACAAATCAAAGACAAATGAAATTTTCGCTATCAAAATTTAATGCACATCAAGAGATTGAGGTAGACCGACCCTTGACTGTAGCCCATAACTGTCTACATGTCTACGAAAGCCAAAAACAAGTGAATCGCGATTGGTCCAAATTACTATAAAAACGTGAAAGAAATTCTTGCGATATGCCATTACTGCGAAACCTTGAAAGTGTTAACAGTCCCGTGCACATAACAAAAGGTGAGTGAACAAAGTCAATCGATTGTTCCGATATTGAATATTGTAACTAATATAACACAGTTCATAATCAGTCGACCATCAATTCATATCTTTTAACAAACGCGTTAATCCTTTTCTGTTGTTTCAAATCAACTCTGAAGAGCTTTTTTTGTAAAGGATTTGTTTCTCGAAGAGGATAAAACCACTACCATCGACTTTGGGACGCCAGTCTTTTTTCATGCTCTTTATTTTTTCTCGTCTTAATTGTATTAAAAAAATGGAACAATTTGAAAATTACCACGCTTGTCAAAAATGTTCGCAACGGTTCAAAACAGCAAATACTGCAGGAAATTTTCATTTTTTTATTGCGCGTTGGTCTGACGAAGGGTAACTGGTTACACAACACCCAAAATATTGAACAACATGTATAAACACCGAACATTGTCTTTTCCATTTTTCTAATATTTATCGACAATGCTTCACTTGGGCGCGGTTGAAAAACAAGCAATACACCTAAATACAATATTAATCAAGTGGGTCAAAGGTCTTCTGAAGTGTTGTCAGAAAAACATAGTGTTAATAGACTTAAGTCCAAATATGTTTAGATTGGGTGTAAACTGGGTATAATTCGAGGTTAATGCGATCATCCACCCCAATAAGTGAGTTACGATTTTTTTTTATGAAAACTGTCAAAGAATAGTTGTCGATTTAAATATTAGGGAGATTTGGTTAGGGCACGTCGTCAAAGACGAGAGGAAAATGTTGTTATCCACAAAATTCTACGAGTTTGCCTGCCATTTCAGTAAAGTGTTTCAAGTCGTTCAACGCTTCGGTAAATCTCTCTGGTATTGCAATGAACGACTATAAGCCTCCACCAAGTTATGAAATCTACTTGAAATGCAGAGAAAAATATTTAATAAATAATTCTATAAGTTTAAACAACACATTATAATTCCTTGCATCACTTGAGAGTACACCGTCTGGTGTTGAATAATACTAAACATGTGTCTAGACAATTTGTCTTCCATTAAGCTGGTTAAGAATTGTTTACAAAGGCTCAGGAATGTTTTAATTATAAATATTTGCCCATTTTAATATTGAAAAGGAGAAAAAATTGGGTTTAAAAAAGCGCTAACTTTTTAATTAACATATATAGAGAAGACAACAAGTCTGGATCGAACCAAAAACTATTGTGATTTTTCGATTTCATTACAAGAACATCGCCCCGATATATCCCTGCTTGCCGCCGACGACGATTTTTCAAATTGAATTGAAACATCACAACAGAAACTGTCCACATGTTCAAGCCTAGTCTCCATATGGCGCTGATAGCTGATTTCCATTGTCGGCGAAAACTGATATAGGGCAAATCTTTTGTTTTTTAAGCCATTTGAATGATCTTATCGCTCTAGTGCGACTTGAAGCTAGTGAAAAACACAGTGGACTGACTTGTGTATGTTCGAAAATTAAACGTGCCTATGCGTTACCCAATTTTGAACCGTATAACATTTCAATATATTTGTGATTCCTGCGCTCTGAAAACTGTGGAACATCCAAATACATAACAGACTTCATGAATTCAGTCAATAGGAGATCGAATTTTTTATCAAAAGTATTTTTTTCACCAGTCTTATTTATTCATCATCAATCCAAGTTTGCCAATCAGTTAGCCTGATAACGCAACCGACAGCGATAATTGATGCATGTTGGGTTGCATGTATGTACAACGATTTTGATGTTTCTAGTTTGCAAGTCGGTTAATGGCAACACTTCGAGCCTTTCCTAATGCGACTTCTACCTATACAGGTTATGCTATGATCTAACCACTCTAGTTTACACATTGCTTTAATGCTTTTCAATTGGGTTTGTTTGGTAATTCACTTTCAACCCACCCTTATGTCGGTACTTAGGTCATCATTGAAATACATATACTGCTAGTCTGACTGACTGCATGTTGAAGTACTGGTAGCCTGTCTGACGGTTGATATAACCACTAATTGGCTGGCTATAGTAACTTACTGCTTTCCAGTCGATTCTATGCAGTGTTTAAATTTTAAACCTCTTCAATGTCCCGATAATTAAGAGTTAAGTTATCGAGTAATGCTAACCTGACTGACCACAATGTAATACGGCTAGCTGCGAATTGCAAGCATGACTAGTTTAGGCATTACTACCTACCAGTGCTTTATTCATTGTGCCTCACTTTAAACATTTCTTAATGCCGATTACCCATATTTACTTTTATATTCAGAATGCTGCATGGTTCTAATACCAGCCTTGGTAGAAAGTAGTTTCTGCTTTGCCATGCTTTATTTAGTGTTTCATTTCAAACATTTCTCAATGTCTGTTGGTCACAAAAGTCCGGATAGTTTGACAGACTTTGTATTGTTCGTAGTATCATATTAACTAGTTAAAAAACTCTGACCCGGTACATTACAGTTATACATATGACTGCTGTAGAAAGTCAAAAGTGAGTGATTCACACTGAAGTGCAATGGTTCACCCATGTGCATTGTAACCTAACCTTTGCGAATTTTAACGAACAGTTTGTTTGGAAATAAGCATGTGTGAACACAATGTAAATATGCATGAGTGCTAAAATTAAATTTTAAAAAATATAAAAAATGTTTTAATCCTACATCGCCACAACCAAATATTTTTGATGGAACACTTAGTGTCGTGGGATTGAACTTGAGGGATTAGTTCTCTCTTATATATATTTACAGCGCGTATTAACATATCGAGGTTACATCACAAGACGCGACAGAAGCCATATCATATAACTTTCAACCTTCAATCTTTTCCAACAGTGTAGGTGCACATCATACGCCGAACATTTAAATGTTCGCAATTTATGCAAATTAGTTGCGAGTTGGAGCAACCAAATTGACGTGTATCTTATGTTTTTCAGCTTGCCCATAATGGACTCTTCAAAGGTGTTTCTGCTGATTTTCCTCATCGCGAGAGTTGCAATTTGCGTCACTCCTGATCCAATGATCGCCCGGCTAAAATTTCGTGCCGAATTAGAATACAAAGAGATTGAGAGCCTGACAAAAGAATACGTAAGAACTTTAGCAATATAAATTACCGCGTTAATTAGCTATTTTAGCGTGTTAGATAGTGTTTTTGTCACGGCAAGGGTATAACATGTGCAGCGAAGAATGGTTCGGTCAAATGTTCTCAACAGCAGGTATGTTAGGGAAGCCTCGAAAACCAGCAAATTCAACGGGGTTTTTGTTAGACCAAATAAAAATCTGCAAAGCGTTTATACCAAAATCGCACGCTGGTCTGCATGCAAACCCAAGTTTAATTAAAGTTTAGACCTCTCGTTGTATTTACATTGTTGATCGGATAAAAAGCTCAGCTTTATGTGCGAGATAGCTATTCTCTATAAATAACCACCCGGAATTATTTAGGTTTTAAAGATATTTCTTGTGTCATAATACAGGATATATACATGCGACTGTTTTGTATATGAAAAATCGTCAATGAACACGGCGCTGTTATAATCACCTTAGGCTATCGTACGTCATGCCTAGGGTCTAAATTACCCATGGTCGAATAATTTAAACATTTTAGGACACAGATATAACGTAAGGATATGTTAAAATGAAACTAGGTCAGTAAACGTCAGGTTAAACCGTTTGGTGGTATGTAGGCAGATTGCAAGCGTTGATCAAAAATGCATGCGAATTTTCGAGGCCCATATTCATTTCATGACTTTGTCAGAATAAACGACATGGCGTTGAAAACCGATTTGGTGACCTCTTCACCTGGCTTAAAACAAATAGGCTCACTGCAAGTTTTAAATATAGTTCCTTTTAAGGTCGGACCCTCGGGATTTTTTGTCTTTGTCAAATACCTGTAGCGAGCTATACAGTCCTCCATGCATGCAGCGATGAATAACATCGTTTGAACTTCCTGCTACCGAAAAAATATAAGCGCGAGTTTATATCTTCCACGAAATTTCGACCAAAAATATCATTTCTATTTCTCAAATCCAGTAGTTTGAGAAAATCCAAGCTATATAAATGACAATGATATTAATAAAAATGACTTTTTAATAATGTACATATATATATACGCAGTCCCTATTACGGTTTATCTATGTACCAAAGAACAAATATATGGATGTTGCTTTCTAAGGTTCAGTTTACATTATCAAATTTTCTGTGATCACAGTTGGAATTTTCAAACGTCAAATCCTAAGTCTCAAAGTATTTGGTAGAAATATTCAAGGAAACAAAAACAGGGAACTGGGAACTTTAATTAACGCTGAGTAAATTCATCGTGGTACTCGCTTCAAAACGTTTCAACTTGGTCTTGGGATTTACCAATGTAAATTTTCAACTGTGAACGCAGGAACTTTGACACTGGTGTAAATCGAACCTAACGCTACAGACAAAACAAGAAAACACTGTATTCAATTATTTTAAATAAATTTCTTATTTTGCATGAGAAAGGCGATGTTGGATATTTTCGAATTTCTTTCACGGCATAAGTGCATGATAATACTGCATGCATGCGGTGAAACACAACAGTTTTTCATGATTTAAATACAAACGGCAACTTTATCGATAAAAAAACAAAGGAGAGGCTTTAAAGAAGCTCAAATCAGTTTATAAGGTCTAAAGATATTCCAAGAATAATAGAGGACAATATGCATAGAGAATATTATCAGTAAAAATATTGGGAGTAAATATTGTTGAGGAACTCTTATCCCTGTAACCCATTTTGGTTTATTTAAAAAGCCTACAATATATAGACAGTCGCTGGTTTTTGCCAACACGGCGGTATTGGCGCAGATGCATTTAAGAGTCAATGTATCAATCTGGGGTCGGTTGTATCAAGCCCGTTTAGCTTAAACGGCGGATAAGTTTAAAATAGAAATCAAGTCTATTGTTTTATTCAACAAGCAAACAAAATGTTTTTAACCTTAATACAAAGACACTGTTTACAACTACATATTCAGCGCATAATATTCAAGTTGACTCATTCAAGAGAGATGTAAGAGTGTTATTTAATTTTGACTTATCCGCCGTTTAAGCTAAACGAGCTTAATCCAACCGACCCCAGCAAAAGACAAGATAAAATAACTAAAATTTGGCTACTCTCCATGTACCACTTAACCCATTAGCGATCAGGGAGAGCCTTGTGTAAATGGCAAGTATAAAGGCTATGCTCATACACACCCTGTCGAGATGCGGCAGACATATATGCGATATGGCCAAATTATCAACCATTGATTGTATCCGTGTATACAACAGGGGACACATACTCCAGAGGTGATTTCCGTTCGTTTTTCTTGTCATATGAATTACTGAGCGTCAACTTTTACGCGTTTAACGGAGCAAAACGAGCAATTCAACGAGGATATGTTTTGTTGCAAAAGCCACAAATTCGGGCTAGAAAATGATCGAAAGTAGGTCATTTTTGCAACGATTCACTTTGACCTTATAGCCTAAACGAGCTTAGCAACCATGAATGTTGTCAATCTGCGCGGATAAAAACACAAATCACTATCGGATTAACGATATAATTGCCCACTTGTGAATTGTTAAACACTGTTTTGTTGCAACAACGTCTTTTCGAATTTCCAGATAAGTCTATATCGCCTTTCGAATTGTTTACCGCGATAAGAGAGGCATGTTTTTATCCATGTAATGTTCAACTGGATGTTTCCAGTCGCTCGATACAATTGCACGAGTTTTCATTGCAGTGCGCAGTAAAAAATCTCATTTTATTCATTGAAATTATCAATCAAAACATGGTACGGATTTAAAATGAAAATGTATCTTAAATATAGCCAGTATTTTTGTGACATTATTATGCGGACAGTAAATATTGACGATTTTAAATATTTTTCATGTAAGAGGTTTGAGAGTCTCAAATTTCAAGGGTTCTCCCTCTTTCGATTGACGTCGGAAATTGCTTTGGGCTATAGCATGTTGCTAGTTACGGACAGTCATATTAAAGCTGAATATATAGTCTAAACAAAAAACGCGAAAGGCTGAGTATAAATATTTTAAAATTTATACCAACCTTCATATAATGTTACCTAATGCCAACTACAACAAATGGCATTTTAATTCGACACGGCGATGTCAACGTTTTGAAAACAATAATACCATCACAGATTATAAGATTTTTGCATTCTGCGCGTAGATGATTTGCATATTTAACGCGGAAACCTCGAGATGTTTTGCACAAGTTCGAACACTCGACGAACGAGCGTGCGAAAGCCGCAAAAAAGAGAGAGAAATATATACACTTGTTAAATAATCTAAAATGTCAATGGAAAATTTATTGCATGAGGTAACCCGGTGCTATTTTCGACCCAGACAAGTACATCAGGCAATGATAGCGTTGAAAGGAGTGAATCAAAGCAGTAATTCGTTCTGACAGATTCAATTGTCGACCGGTTTACACTTTGCACCGGCAATAACCACAAGACATTCTGCACGTTCTTCGAGAGGTCGCTAATGCTGCTTCGCACAACACACACGTGTAACTCAGCATGTCTTAAGACTCTTCTCCACTCATCGCGAAATGAACTCGCAAACTCGCTCCTAGTGCGTGCAAAATAAACTGTCGAGCATTGTAATAAACTGTCAAGCATTATTATTGGACGAAATTACTCGCGACGAGGTTGCCAGTTGGTTTTTGCGATGAGCGATTGAGAGCCTTTAGGGAAGTTTTCACTTCAACGTGCTGTAGCGACACGTACCTATCATTCTTTCCTTGGCACTCGGGTAGAGGTAGAACTAATGGCTTTGAAACAAAGAAATACGCTACGGTACGAATGAAATAGAAAACAGGCCTTAGTTCAGTATAATTCGAGATCGTCACTGAGAAAATTAAAAATTTTTTAGGAACTAACTGCGATGAAACACTATTCAGCCATATCAAGTATTTCAGTGTAGCTTTTTTTAAAGCTGTTTTGGATATCGAGGTTACCGCTTAATCACGATTCAAAACGCTATGTTTATGTATACCGACTTTTCGGTGGAACGAAAGTTTTCGCTCGATTTTTTAAAAATTCCGTCTTGTGGAAAACCGCCCTATGGAAAAAATCCGGTCAAAATAAACATAATTGGAATTTTAGCCTCTTAAGTGGAGCTATGGGTTGAAAGTTTGATCCCTAAAGATCTGTTCACACGATCCAATTTTGTTGGATCCAATTGACTTTTGATGGATGTTTTATAAGCTGTTGACTTGCAGCAAATCAACTAAAGCCAATGCAGTACTGCTTTATCAATATCAGACTACATACCATACGTCAGAGGTGTTGGATCCGACAAAGTTGGATCGTGTGAACTAGCCTTAAATACTCCAAAGTCCCGAGAAACGCGTGTGTCGAATCTCGCAGCTGCGTTAGGAATACGCGTTCTAGTTTCCATCTGAAAACTATGGGATAACGCATATGAATGCACAATTCAGTTAGCCTACTGTTTCTGGATGGCTGTTTTGTTCAAAGCCTAAGAAATAAACTCTCTCTATCAAACCAGTGAGGATCTCTGAAACAATCCTGCCAACTCGATCAATAGCTGTCAGAAAGTATGATTTACGGATTTGTATAAGCGCCCAGGGTTCCAACCGGCTTTAGAACAACCGGCTCCAGGTTTGAAAATGTCGGTTGCTATGAATCTCAGTTCTGAGTCCAATCAATTAAAAAAATTGCGTGATCTGGTAGTTTACAGCTAAGTGGTAGCAGTCTGTATTCACACGCATGACTACGACAAAAATTAGCTCCAATCCTCCGGTCGGAGATAGCGCTCTTTATCATTCAAACGGCTACAACCGAGACATTGGGATCAAGCCATTAATCGAGCCTTAAGGTGCAAAATTTGCAACTTACAGCTATAATTATAGCAGATGTAGGCGTGTAGCTAATGTGCACTCAATTAACAGCCAAGATATGCATATTCTAATTTAGCACTTTTGAAAGTGATGAAGGAAACATTTTAATTGTCTAAACACTCTTTTAAATCTATTTATATTCTATTGTTGACTCTACCGTAATTGGACCCAGGGCGCCATTTACGTAGTCCATAGGTGGGAGAATAACTGCTTTTGACCAAAAAAGGTAAAATAGGTTTCTTAAAAATGAAGGGCCATGATGGGTTGGATTATATAGGCAGACATTATAGTGCTGACGTATTACACATCAGAGGATTGCTAAGATTAAAGTCACCCTATGGGAGTTCTCAGGCCTAAATTTCTATCCCATTTAGTAAATTACGTGGTCTATTTCAAACCAATATATTGGTAATCTAGTTGTACCGGGTGTAAAAAGAGTGAGCTCAAAGCGGGTAATTTTTTCATGATTTGAAACTAAGCTGTCGGGACACACAACAAATTTTGCTCGCCCACGCAAACTGTATGGCGCTTTCAAAGGCATTGATCAATATTCTTTTGCGCTCTACCATCAATATGGCCGAATTGCAAGTCAAGAACTAATGTTCTTGAGAGAACTAATGACTAGTAATGTTCTTGAGAGAACTAATGAACTTCAAGAACTAATGTTCTTGACTTGCAAATTTCTGATTTTTTTCACAGCGATGTTTTTCTTGCAGGCCGATTGTTAGTTGCGATTCTCTACTTTGGATAGTTGTGCTTTAGGATATAAGTTACGGGATGTTTCTATTAGATACATCAGAGCATTCAGTTCACTCGTTCGCATCTGTCAAAATGAGAAAATCTTATCTAATCAGTCATAGCAAAAAGCGCCTAGGTAACTGGGATGGCAGACCTTTAAATAAGAGTAATTAATTATACCTCAGACAAAGTGAACTGGCATTAGTAATTTTAAAAAACAATTAAAAACATTCCTTTTTGAAAACGCTTTTAACCTTCAGTAGAATAGGATAGCTTTCAGTCTTAGTAGAAATATTTAGAATATGTATTTATGACATTGTACAGCGCTTTGAATATCTATATAATCAAGCGCTATATTTAAATAGTAAATATTATTATTACCTGTCACGCAAATTATAATAACTAATAGATATCTTTTCACTGTTCATCGCAGGGGAACTTTTGTACTTGCGTGGACCCGAATCACGACTTGCACGAAAGACACTCCGTTATACAAGGAACAAAGGTTTGTTATATGAGTTTCTGAGCCGGATGCAATATTTCAGAGAGTTTCTGCCGCACACGCGGTGCTCGACGAATTTGTGCGAATGTACCTCACTAAATTCTATTTTTGCTTTTATAGGATCAAATTCTGAAACAGATCAGTCACTATGCGTACTTTTACGACAATTTACTAAAAAATATCACAGATAACGAAAAACGGACAGCCACCAAAGGAAAGTTGAAAGACATACGGGATTGGCTTTTAACTACACACAAACGAACTGAAAAGCTGGTAAGTATAGTTACTCGTGTTAAAAGACCTTAAACTTTTGATGTATTTAAAAGCCGCAACCATTGTATAGGCTGTTTGATTTATTTTACATCATAATATCGCGTTTGCAAGTCAAGGTATACGCATGCGCAATCAAATAGTTATCGTACGCAATCTGATGTGATGCAAATCTACGCTATTTGTACCGATAATTATCTTAATGTCCCCTGCCCCAGGCACTGAAGATCATCGCGTTTTGCAAATGTTAACAAAACTGGAAAACAAGTATTAAGTAAATCCTTTTAACACACAATTCGTTCTTAGATACACGGCCAAAACAGCACCGGCCAAGATCCTATGTCGTATAACGTTCCAGGGTCGAGTGTTGTGAAAATCCGTATTTCAAGTTGGTACAATAAAAATATAAAGGTACGTTGATAGAAAAATACGTTGTTTTATATTTAATAAAGATGATGGCGGTACATTAAAAATTTTTTGCATATTGAAATCAGTTAATTTAAGGACAATTTTCGTAAACAAAGGCATAAGGCCTTTTTTCCACTCATCGCAAAACCAACTCGGAAGCTCGCCGCGAGGGTAGAGTCGCAGCTCCTCGCAAGAATGATTTTCACTGGCTGAACTTTACAATACATTTCTGTTTCAACCAATAGCATAGCTTCGTTCTATAGAAAGCATAGAGAAGCATTATCCAATTGGACAAAAGCTTCCGAGCGCTGCGACATGTGTTTGCCTGTAATTAAATTCAACCCAAAGGCATTTTCATTGGATGAAAACCCTCGCAGCGAGTGCGCCATTGCGATGAGTGGAGAAGAACATTAATCTAACAAAAAACTGAGATTTGTGACATGTTAACATTAACACGGTATTTTTGCAAAAGAAATTTTACAAAATTCAAGCGACAAACTTTACTGGACATTACTGAACATTGAACAAATTAAAATTTAATCAATTGTCGTAAACGTAGCTAAATTCGCAATATTTTTGGGGAATTGACATATATTTCTGGTATTTTAGAGAGCAACTAACTTGACCGCAACTACCCGCAATGACATGCTGGCCTATATCACACTGTGTGCAGTGAAAGTTGCCAACAAGAACATACGACATGGTTTGTTCCAACTTTCCGGCAGTAAAGGTAAATGAAACAACCCGAAACTGAAAACGTAGTACTTTTAGTAGAACTATCTTAGTAGAACCTTTTAAGAATAATACAAAAGGGTAGAACCGGATATAGCCTGAGGCATCTAATTTGAGGTCTCGGAATACGCATGCGCAATCAAATAGCTACCTTACGCAATCTGATACGACGCAAATCCACACTATTTGTACCGATAACTATACCCAGCTTGGTAAAGAATATCGTGGATTTGCATGGTCAGATTAGAAATATTTTTGCAAACAAAAAAATACCGACGACGTTACGCTTAAAGCGAGTCTATTTATTTATAGAATATTTATTCCTGTGTAGCAAATTTATTTTATAGAAGTATCTATTTTTCTGTGTATTAAATTTATTCTGTGGTACCCATGTGTGAAGTGGATCAATTCAGTTTTGTTGTGGCACATATGTGTGTAGTGTATGTGGTAATATTTTTCTGTGATTGTTGTGTACGTGTCAACGTCAATCCACTGTATAAAGAAGAGTGTATGTCGGGTGTTTATTTAATTGTCGAAAGATGTTACCTCGGTTCAACCATTAAACAAAGACGTAGTTTTGGGAGGTCAGCGGAAAAGGAGAACTGACAAACGTTCCAGTTAAAGCCGGTACTATTTGAGAGATGATACTGTATACAATTTATCACAAATGAAAGTTTTCCGGGTTTGGAGAAAAACTCTTTAATTCCATCAGTCCAGAACTCGTAAATTAGAGTTATATTTCAGAATAAAAATTTGGGAACTGAATATTGACTATATAAGTTATAACTTTATAGTCAAATCTGTTTTTCAAATTAAGTATCAAATGAAATTAGACTATATAGAAAATAAATGAAAAGTATTGTATTAGTATTGTGTCTGTGTTTTGTATGTCACATGTTTTATGACATGTCGCAATGTAATTCTGGTTGTAGTTGTCACAATATTTGTTGAGTTGTCGTCCATGCAATGTTAGGAGCTCTAAAACATGCACCACGACAAAGCCAATGAAAATAAATGTTAATTTATTCCTAATGGACCAAAGAACTCCCTCCCTAGTTCTAGTCGTAAAATAGAATTATTTAATTCAAAACAATCAACAATTATTCGCCGAAAGCGAGGTGATTATCGGGAAACAATCAATCGAGACGAAAACGAGGCGAATACTCCCCGATAATCGGCACCAAGCCTAAGGCGAATAGTTGTTTCAGTATTTTTGCACTAGTGAATTGACACAAGAACTGCATTTGTTCGCTTATCTCTTTGTAAGAAAAGTCCACAAAACGCCTAGCCGCCATTTTGAAATTTGTTACATTCATCTGAAAGTGAATATAAAAGCATAATACGTCAAATCAGACCAATCAGAATGTAGGATTTGATATATTCACTTGGGAAAAAATACTAAGCATTAATGCCGTTCTCAGTTTTTCCCAATATCGTCTCTCGTATTCCTGATATTCAATTTTCGAACGTACGCAAATTAAGCGTGTCTGGACGTTATCTTACTTTAGAATAATAAATTTATAACAAACTTAGGAATCTTACGAAGCAGAACTGTGTAGGACTACAGTAATTAGAAAATAGTTACTCTTAATTGAGATTGTTTTTTAAAAATTTAAAGGTTTTGGAATGATTACCACTCGACCTGATAAGCCAAATGTAGCACTTAATTCTTATATACTCTTCATGATGGTGGCATAAAAAAATTATTGTTTGAAATACAGGATTTACATGTAATTACAACTGTTTGTTTAACTGCAGATACCCAACGCCCTTTAGATATATACTTGAGAAATAAGCATTCGGCATTTCCTAAAAGGACGATATGCACTGACCACTTAACTATTTTCCCGCCAACAAAATAATTGTATCAACAATTATTCGCCGAAAGCGAGGTGATTATCGGGAAACAATCAATCGAGACGAAAACGAGGCGAATACTCCCCGATAATCGGCACCAAGCCTAAGGCGAATAGTTGTTTCAGTATTTTTGCACTAGTGAATTGACACAAGAACTGCATTTGTTCGCTTATCTCTTTGTAAGAAAAGTCCACAAAACGCCTAGCCGCCATTTTGAAATTTGTTACATTCATCTGAAAGTGAATATAAAAGCATAATACGTCAAATCAGACCAATCAGAATGTAGGATTTGATATATTCACTTGGGAAAAAATACTAAGCATTAATGCCGTTCTCAGTTTTTCCCAATATCGTCTCTCGTATTCCTGATATTCAATTTTCGGATACCCAACGCCCTTTAGATATATACTTGAGAAATAAGCATTCGGCATTTCCTAAAAGGACGATATGCACTGACCACTTAACTATTTTCCCGCCAACAAAATAATTGTATGCTTTTACTTGTGTACTACAATTATCGGCAATATTTGAAAAAAAATCGGCGGTTTCTATCAGAGATGCACATAATTTTATAAATGTAATTACTATTTTTTGTGCAAATGACGTTACGTCACCTACGTGTAGCCTAATTTCCAACTGAAATCTAAATATCTTGGAAGCGAGAGAGAATATTGAAAAACTGGGAACAATAAATATCAAGGTTCATTTTGAAATAATGTGACATTTCCACAAAAATTAAGTGTAAGGTTCATTCGTTGAGGAAGCACATTAAAAGCTTATTTCTAACTGCAAATTTTAGGTCTTGTGTAGTGCGGTCTGCATTTTAGGCCCCTTTCAATATGGGCTGCACAAAACAAATGTTTTCATCTCAATTATTTCTTCACTAACATGCATATATTATACGTTTTCCACATGTCGTGTTGCTGTCTAACTTATGCTTTTGTTTCTTTATTTCTATCTTTGTGTGCTTTTTGATGCGAAAAAAATCGCACAGAATACATTAAAGATTAATATATGATCTATTGATATATAGGTGCTGTGTATTTTAAATGTGATCGGTTCATTCGTAGTCACATGACTTTAAAAAAATGCAATGTTTCCCGGGAAACAAGAGAAATTGTTGCCCGCTTCTTGTCATAACAAAGTAAAGTGTGTTTTTTTAATGAAATTGTTGTTTAACATGTATGCTTTTGTTCTTATATAACAAAACACTTAATGTATACAACCTCGGGAAATAGTGAGTTTTGTTTTCCCTCGAGTCTTAATGTTTCCCTCGACTTCGTCTCAGGAAACATTCAGACTCTTGGGAAAACAAATCTCACTATTTCCCTCAGGAGCATACATTAGGTGTATATTGATATTACATTACTATCTCTGTGATCACCAGACTTTACTCGTCAGGAGTAGGGTAGTATACCATTTCATTATCGAGGAAATGCGCTATCACTTTGCAAACAGATAGTGACCTAGCTTCTACTTCAAAACCAAAAGAATGAAAATCAGTATAGCTTTTATTATAAAACTAGACGCGAAAATGTCATGTATAATTCTCCCTTTATTAGACCCCTTAATCAACGCACACTCAATGTTAGAAACTAACTGAATGTTAGAAACTTACTAATGGAAACATATAGCGAATATAATCAGCTGCAGGAAAACTGCCTAATTCATGAAATGGGTGTACACTGTCACTATTTTTAAGACCATCTTTGAACACATGAAATGCTAAGTTTGAAACTGACAAACAGAGAAAACAATAAAAAAATCCTTGTTCCCAGCGTCATTCTATCATTCGTACTCCATGAAAACATTGTAAAATCGTCGGGCGTTATAGGGCGTCGGGCGCTAAAATATTAAATGTGCGTTTATTTTTTCTGTAGGAGCAAACTCGGCGCCAACGGAGAACTGGTTTAACAATGGTGAGTCCTTCAATTTACGTACCATAAAATGCAACAGTCAACTCACCACAAAAGAGACCCTCGATATTTTCTTAACATTTCATGCACATTTTTTTTTATCTTTTAGGAACAAAGAAAATATTTTCAAGAAAAAAAAACACTAGAGGTACGTTTAACAACAATAACTACGTATATTCGCTGAAAAATCATTCACTATTATTACTTATGTGATTAATTTGATATTGGTGTGCATCGGAGATAAACTTTTCATTGTAACTATTAATAGTGATTAACTTGACATTGACGTGTCTCTGGGATTTCGTATTCTTGCACAGTATAAGGTTTACGGTACATGAGTGCTATAGGAACAAGTCAAATTTGTTAGTAAAAGGCAGTGAAGATTTTTTTATCTGAGACCTGAATATACAAATAAATAAGAATTTACTATCAAACCTTGCTTTATATAATGGAAAAGAAGATGGCGTGAAGATCGCGTATAATGGAGTACGGCGTTTAAATGAAAACGAAAAAACATTTTTCTGCGGATTTCGTTTCATCGCATAATGTATTATTCGTGCGGGTTTCGCTTTTTTCTTGGACACCCAGTACAATAGACCATAACAGGGTCAAAATCATACATAATCCTGTCTAACCACGGATGAATAAGTGAATATCTCATTTTTATTTCACCATAGTTTCTAAGATGAAAATCAGTAAAGTCAACTCGATGACAATTGGACAAAATACTGGTATGGCTGTTTCAATCTAAAGTCGCTTATAAGTAATTTATAAAGTTTAGATTTTGATTACAATTAAGAACCTTTAAACCCTAGAATTTACGTGCATCGAGTGAAGTGCCAAAAATCACAATTGATTTACAAACAACAATATATACATTATTGCAACGTAATCCTTTTATACATTCATTCATTATATTAGTCCAATTAAAATGTTATATAAACGACTGATTTGAAATTATTTTTTATAGGTAAATAAACTGGGCGATGTCATGTAACGGTAAGCTCGCCAGATTAGATTAAGCCAAATTGACGGCAAAAAGATATATAGCAAAATTTTGGCCAATATATGATACATAACTACCGTTTGACACAGTTGTTCCAGACAAACGTACAATCTTTTATGATACGATTATTAAATACCTTACAACATCACCTTCTGAACTAAAACGACACGGCCCCTCGACCTTAGCAATGGCGTAGCAACGGTGAATATAGAGCATTCGGGTAAAGCGCTTGGCGTCTATGGTGTGTTAAATATTCTTCCCCTGTCATTTTAAAAAAAATTTTGGGGAACATGATAACAATCCTTCTGAAATAAATTGAAAATTCAATTGATTATACTACAGCAGTTATCATACTTTCTTCCTGAAACCCACTGAAGAAGTTCTGTAACACAGTTGTTGCCTCGCCTTGCTAAAAAATTGTTCTTAGGTCTTTACACTGTTTGGAATGTAACCGCGATATTTTTTTTCATTATTTTATATTCTCCGCGATTTCAGGCAAACCCAGGGAGAAAGTTCAACTTTAAGATTTGTGTTATTGTTTGTTTGTAAGCTTTAGAAAGCCATGATATTAGGACGAACTAAATAAAATTTAGTTCGTGTAAGTTACATATAATGTAGCCTAATGGTTTTCCAAGAAAATCATTATCGTTGTTAAGATATAAGATTAAAACGTATACCAGAACTGGCTTGTTTATACATGTTTTGTATATTTGCAAAGAAAAAGTAGCAACATACCACCAGCAACATTTTACTATGTTTTAAAAAATATTAGAAAAAAACCTCTTGATTTCCAATTTGCTAACTTTAAATGCAAATCATGCAGGACTGTTCTGAGATTTATTGATGTATTTTGAATGAGTGAATTAGGTCACATGTGCACCCCCTGTTAACCATACAAATAAGATTGATAAATATGTAAATCAGTTAGAAACACTAGTGGTTGTATTTTTTCCAATACAGTCACTAGTGTTTCTAACTGATTTACGTATTTATTAAAATCTTATTTATTACAAAATTCGTTTCACAAGTTGTTGTATATTAACTTGTGAAAAATACTCAAAAAGGATAAATGTGAATGCAAATCGGTCTAACAAATATCACAACAGTTTTCCGTTCGGCAGGAAAGATAATTTGAGTTGGATAATATTTCTGCAATGATCGAATTCATATGTATACAAAACATTAAACAGCCAGTTTTATGGGTATGTTTTTAGTTGCTATATTATGACAGCTTGCAAAAGCATAAATATATTAAGGACATATAAAATGCAGTGTTTTCGAAGAAAAAATAGTTTGACAAGATTTCGACCCAACGTCAGTTCATCTTCAAGCAAAGCAATAAGTTACAGATTACAGATATTACCATACGATATGTATGGGCGATAAACTTTTCATAAAAATATTGATTCATTAAGACTAACCACGGATGAGATCAATGCATATTTATGCAAAATTACTCAAATGAACGTTTAAACTTCAATCAAGTTAAAGAGATGCTGCAGGTTCATATCTATAAAACAATGCGATATTCACAGCAGAAGATGGCCAACGTTGGGAACGAATATTGTCCATTAATTTTTTTGTCAAATGATAGGATGAAATCATTTTCTTAATTTTAGAAATATGATAATATATAAGTTTATACAGAGTGATGCACCACCGATCATTGGAACTTCCTTTAGCAAAGAGCACAACTCATAGATTTGAAGATAAGGTGGATTAATACACCTCTGACAACTCATTAACTATTACTGTCCAAGAACAGGTGTGTGTAAAAGGTGGCTCCTATCTTGATACACGCTCAATTTTACATTTCCCTAAATAAACAAAAGCGATGGCCTGAATTTTCTGTTGATATTGCAAAACAACTTGCTAATTCAAACATTGCTTTTGGAAGATTTAGAGAAAATGCAAAAGACAAGTGCCAATGGTCAAGTTAGGAACAGTCTCTTTTGCCAATGTACACCTAGATATAGTTAATGAGAGGTATTGTTTACTTCCATCTTGTCTTCAAACTATGTCAATTACTGTTGCAGAATTAAGCCCTGAAAGCCCTAAAAGCTTGTTTTCTAGCCCAAATTTCAATTTTTCGAATTTGGTGACAATAATGATTAGGTTGAGAATGAAGACATTTTGACTTCATGCCCTTAGCCAACATTCTTTGATTTACTGCTTTTGGCAAAGGACTTTTCATTATTGGTGCCTAATTAGGTTGTCATATGATGGCAATTAAGAGAATTTGATATCATGTTTGCTTATGAAGTGATATAGTAGCTTTATAGTTGGAAAATATATCTAATATATATAAAAGTCATGCTTGTAACTTTTAATCACCAAAGATTTAATAAATCATTGTGACATCAGTCACTGCATGCAATTGTTGTTTGGAATTCAGTTTGCACTCAGTAATTCAAGTCATAAATAATTTGGTGCTTTTTACTGGGATATATCAAAACCATTTGATGTAAGGAATAGAATTACCCAATCGATTTGTAAATCCACGATACAAAAAGAGTGGACAATTTTCAACATTTGAACCAAAATGAATTAAAGAATATTTTGTCCAGATTCAAAATAAGATAGCTTTTCCTTTGGCTTTGTGTTACACATCAAATCATACGATCATAGTGTGTAAAATCAAAAACAACTGTATGACTTTAAATAATTTCACCGACGGGCGGGCGACGTGTTGAATTGTCTCCTGTCCTGACCATTAAATAACAGCAAGTCTTCCTGTCCTTTACGTCAAAAAAGGTATGTCAAGCTTTACACAATTTTCAAATGATAAGTGCAAAAAATCACTTAAAAGTTGTTCAAAAGGACGTACGCAAACAAGTTCATTTGCTGTAGTGTTTTAGCTAAAAAGTTTAGCATTAGCCGCCATGTTGAATTCTTTCGTTTGCCGAAACGGTCCAAACCAGCCGCTTAGCGCATCTTTAAATCTAAACCAGTCATGCCGTTGTGTAAACGCTAGCATTTACTACGACAATACTAAATATAAACACATAAAAACACATGCATTTTTATTGTTCAACTACCAATGTAAAAAAATATATAAATTTACCTTGAATTCATTTTCATTTTCCCGCCGAAAGCCATGCTGGCGCCGGTGATAGTTTTGACAAGCGGCTGCATTGCGCGAAACTTTATTTAACACAATCAATTTTAGTCTTTTACCTCGTTTATTTATATAAAAGTTTAAATCACAATGTTCACAGAATGACAGTAACTGCTCGTGTTAACATGACATGGACAAGTCATATAACGATACCATAATCTATTGCTACTCATTCAAGCATTAATTAAAGCACCAGTCAAAACAGGTGTTTGACATGAGAAATTTTGCTACACATCCATGCTTGATTGTTGTACAGCAATAAGCTGGTGTGCAACAACCAGATCAGCAGGTAAAACTATTTCTTGGCCACCTTGCCCGGCCGCAACAGCTGTGATGGTAATTGCTTCGCCCTGCTCTCCGTCACCAGATTCAGTGATGTATCTGCAAAGACATGGTTGATTATTTTTTCAAAAATTCTGGATCCTAATTAATTGATCGTCTTTGTCTTTCTACTCTGAATCTTAATAAATAGAAGCTCTCAAAAATATCTCCAAAAAAATATTGGGGAGAGAGACGACCACACCCAAGAGTCTTCCCCTGGTTCAAAATAATTCACTTACGCATCATGTAGGCTTCTCTCGGCCGCAACTTGTTCCCTGTTTTCAGTGTCTTTGTTTTCAGCACTATCTTCATCACAATGTTGAACAAGATGTGCGTTGCTGACCATAGTATGTTTTACTGCACCATTTTCCAGACTATCATCGACCATGTGACCATCGTCATCAACCATGTGACCACCATCATCAACCACACCTTCAAAAACGAAAAAAATGTCGAGGTTTTGTTAATTCCAAAATGTAAGTTTCTAAGAATGCCTAAATGTTTAATACTTCATATAAAAAGGTAAATGATGTTACTTTTTACAGAAATTAATAAAAAATTATGCATTCTGATTGGGTTACTGAAAATGTAAACAAATTTGCTGATTGGTCTAAAACGAGATCACTCCTTTTACCTATGCATGTTTTGCAGAAATCGTTTTGGGAGAGTTCAACCTACCTGTACCATCTTCATTTTCAAGCTCTTGCTGTTCCATGTCAAGACCACTGCTCTCATCGCCTTTTTTCAACTCCTCTAACGCGATGGTTCTGTGATGAACAGAAGCCATATGAAGTACATATGGATCGTCCTCACAGAACGACATATAGCATACGTCACAGCGATGTCGGATGTCGATGTTATGTCGTTGACGCATGTGGGTGATAAGCGGAGCGGTCTGCCTGAATGCGCGCGGGCAGTGCGGGCAAGGCCGCGGCTTCTCACCAGTGTGCGTCATCGTGTGCCGACGGAGAGCCGAACGGTCGCCAAAGGCTTTTCCACACGTTTCGCATTTGAAAGGTTTTTCACCCGTGTGCGTGCGCATGTGCACTTTGAGGTCAGTTGATCCTCTAAACGCACGGTTACAAACCAGGCAGAAACGTGGCTTCGTAGCACCTAGTAAACAATGAGAGGTAGGCTGTTAATGCATTTTATATGTTTGTAAAAGGCATAGATTTTTTGCTCGTGATATATGGAGTGTTTTAAGACAAACCTGTGTGAATTTTGGCATGGCGAAGCAACAGCCACTCTGAAATGAACGACGCAGCACACTTATCACATTCGTATTTCTTCATTTCGTCACGTCTTGCGTGAGCAATTAAATGTTGACGCAATTTCCAAGACTGTGTGAATTTCTTGGCACACTGATCACAGCTGAAATCCTTCTTGCCATCCTTGTCATCAGACTCCTCACCATCATCACCCTCGTCAGAGATGTTGTTACCATCATTCCCTGCAAATTATTCATAACATTTGATTATGTGAACCTCAATCAATGACTAAAACAGCAAGCTGATGTAAGGATGTTGGGAGGTGATTGTGCAATGTTTGAAATGCTCAACAAGTAGTTTCACTAAGGATTATACTAGGGAGCTTATATTGCAATAAGTAGCTTGGTAACCATGCATAGCTGATAATTTCTTAATAGTAGCTTAAAGTATTAAGTGGTTACATTATGGGTGATAAAGTAATGCCACACTGCTCCCCAGTTATTGCTGTGAATCAATCAGCATTTGATAATTACTGTTTTTAGGTTTTTGTTTACACATATAAATTGTATATAATAAAAACAAATGCTTAGCTTACATTTTTAAACTATGAAATATTTGCTTAAAATATGAAATATTGCTTAAAATATGAAAAACTGTTTGAATATCAAACAGAATATTGGTTTGCTATGGTTCGATCCAAATGAACATGAACTAGAGTTTGTATCCTAATTTGTGTCCAACATTGATGTGAGCAGAGCCAACGCTCAAACTTGACAGGATATTACCTTTGAATTAATCTAAAATATTTTGTAAATAAAACACATTTGAAGAGAAGAAAGTTTATATACCTTGAGTGATGGCTGGAAGTTGAGAGGCATTGCTGGTTGTGTTCACTGGAGTGACTGTTGTAGTTGATGATGTTGTTGGCAGTTGTTGTTGCTGTGACATACTCTGCTGTAACATTGACATTATTGCGTTACTAAACATTGGCGAGAGGTTTGCCAGGTTCCCACCAGAGCCCAGTTGAAGCGAGCTCACAATAGAATCTGTACTTTGAGAGCCATCATTGTTGATTACAGCCAGAACAAGCTGTCCATTGCTTGTGTTAATGATAGGGAACTGTGTTTGCAAAGGCTCTTCCAAAACTGCTGTGAACTGTAAGAGTTTAAGTAAAGAAATGAAATACAAATGAACTAAAGAGAGCATTAGTATACTGCTCATTAAACAGGTACATAGTCTGACTCTGCCTCAGAAAATTGAGAAAAAATCATCTGTTTTCAACCAAGGCAAAATAACAGCAAAGGTTTTAGTTATAGACATAATTGGCATTGAATTATTTTATAATGTTCTTACTAATCCATACTTACAATTTCTTTATCTTCAGCAACATTGGCAACTTTGTCATCAGGGTCAACCATTGCGCCTTCTGATTGAGTTTTAAGATAGGATATCTTGATCTCTTCATCTGGGCTCTGGACAGATATAATTTGGCTACATAAGCTTTATGATAACATTTAAGTTGAAGCCTGAATAATTCAAATTATTTCTCGAATCATTAAGCTCTTCTAGTTCAGTATCAGCGGGCATATCTGACTCATGAAAGTTCCGAAATTTTACCTATAATATTAGTACTATCGATTGCATTAACGTAGAAACACTAAAGTTGAAAGCATCTGAGGATTTATATAGCCAAATTTACAAGCCCCAATACGATAATGTGTACAGGATCAAGTAAGATGTATTCTAGAAGTCGACAAATTACAAATGCAAAAATATTACACCGAAGCATGCAATATACTAGAAAAAGATTGCGTTTAAAATCACAAATGGCATCGACAAAACCATAAAATTACAATTAATTAGTGCAGTACTTGATTTTATACAATCATCGGTACAAAAAACCTTCTTAACGAAGGTGATATGGGTACTTCGAGAGAAATTTAGTGGTCATATTAGGATAATGGCGTATTACATACCTTGTTGGTGACTTTCTTAAATTTGGTCACAGCTATTTCGCTGAGTTCTTTCACTGTCATATCTTCGCCTGCATCGCAAGGAACTAGAATGCGCACCTCTCCGAAACATACTATCACTTTCATCGTGAATTTCGGCTCGAATCCTTCGGAAAAAAATTCAATTTCTCGCAAATCGATAACAAGACCTTCGCAGACACAAAGGGAGGAACGAGACACGCGCTCGAACATCGCGGGGAGCATCATGGGTATTCTTGGGACAATTTCAATAATAAACAATTAGATTCTCATCCAGTTAACTATGTATAGATCAGCGTCAAACTTCCATTTTTCCTCGTTGAATACTTTTGATTTGTGAAATATCACTTGAAATTTTAAAGCTTTTCACAGACAAATTCTGCCTTTTACTATGCGTCCCTGATTTTTTCACGTCCCTCATGTTTTTTTTCAACAAAACGATACTAAGCGATAAAAAATTTCCGTTTCAGAAATCAGAATGATTTCCCTAGACATAGCTTCTAAATTTCAAGCAAGGTGGAAGCACTGATCACTTCGTATTTCGTAAACATAAATATTAGCACGTGGCTATTCAACCAGACGAGAAAATACAATTGGATGATGAAGAAATGCAATGTTTGTAATCTAACCGAAAGCAAATACAGATGTCCGAAGTGCCGGATTTTATAGTAAGCAACTTGATTGAAAACAATTTCGATTCCTTATGGTAACCTGACTGAAAATGTTTATATCATATATATTATTCATATATATATGATTTATGGTACATAATAATCCATATTATGTAAACAATTTGCTTACGTTTGTTTTTTCTGCTTTAGTTGTTCCGTAACATGTTACAAAACACATAAAGGTGTGTAATATGTTTCATGTAAAGTGTGTAATATGATTTATGTAAAGTATTTAATATTTTGAAAACAGATATAATTATATATAGAAGGAAGCACTGCATGCATTACCTACATATTGGTATAATTTTAACATAATATACCATGTGTGTCACGCATATAACCTGCTAAACACACACAGTAACTATTTGCCCATCTGTAAACAGTAAAGTTCTCTGTTATTTAACCTTGTTGTATATAGACAATTCATGTGAGGAATTCAAACAACCCGAAGAGACTATTTTGCGCAATACAACTATAAATGGCAGTTCTCTGATCACTAAAGGTATGCTAAATGATTCACATTTAATAGTTTTGTAGTAATTTCACCATGCCACAGCTTGCTTCTTCATACAGTGTCTATTTAAAATTTTCTTCATGAAAACATAAAAGTAACACACCCCACAAAAATTTGGATGTTGGGTTATCATTATCAAACTCCACCATATTTGTAGAAGTGGAACCTGGTGAACTGACAGATGAAGAATTAGATGTTGAAGACAAAGTCAGTCAGGAAAAGTTGTCTCTTCTTGGTAAGGTGAAATTTTTTTTCAGATGAGGTAGCTGGGCAAGTACTTTGTATTCCTCCCTTTTTTGATAAAGAAAACTCGCAAAAAATCAAGGACATGCTATTAAACAAACATCTGCAAAGAGTTTTGAAGACTATTGATGAAAAAGACAGTGAACAAGAACTTGAAGCTGCTATGAAGCTTCCTCTGTTTGTGGAATTTGCCAATGAATGTTTAAAATTGGTAGATGACTGAAATTTATGACTTATGGGAAAATGGGGTGAGTTTTGACCACCAAGATAAAGTTAATTTGAGTGGTTTACATGATGAAGTGGCAGAATTCATTGTATTATTGTATTACAAATATGTAAATTAACACGCACACTACAATTTTACAATTTACAAATTTGAAAAGTATTTTTTGCTACAAATATCTGTAGAATATTACGTAAACATATTGTAAAGTAAAAAAACTAAATGTCAACTATTTCTATCACTCTATAAAAAGTTTATGTAGTTTGTTAGTTCAAACTCATACTAGTTTCAAGAAACAAACAACTATTTATCGCTAATAGACACTTTCTGAATTTTCCATCCCCACTTCTCGGTTTAAAAATTCACGATTCGAAAAATGGGTACTTCTTAAACCTGAATTTAGCAGTCCTAAAAGTTCCATCCAAATGTTGGATTCCCAAACGTGATATGAGTCAACTCCTCTCTCAGTGGAAACGCCGCCCCAGATGCCTCAATTTCGCTCATTTTCTTGCGGGGAATTCACCGGGTACCCTCGGTCTATAACGGATCTCGAAGCGGCGAGATATGAGCAGTTTCTTAGGACAACCCCATGTAAAACAGCTTTATTGAAGTCCTACAAATCTTTTTAAAAAATGGCCTGTCTCGAAACGTTGGAGATCTCTTCCAATTTTTCAGGTAGTTTGCATCTCATCAAGTTACTCTGACAACTCCATATTCGACCCAACAGGATGAGAATTTCCTTCGATAGATTCCTGTGCTTGATTTTCGACACATTCCTGGTCTTTAAACAGTTCCTCTAGCATGAATTCAGGGGAATTCATTTGATTACGATAATCAGTCACTGTAAGCATTGTTGCATCCATGAAGCCTGGCTCTAGTTCACCTTCCCCTGTATCTGCTGCATGTGTTCTTTGATGCTTCAGTAAATCGGTCGACTTGAAAAATCTCCTCTTGCAAACTTCGCATTCATAAGGTCTGTCACTGCTGTGGGTTTTCTTATGTCTCAACACGTTATGTGCTTTCGAGAAGGTTTTCTTGCAAACGTCACACTCAAATGGCTTTTCCCCGGTGTGTGTTCTTTTATGCCTGCTTAAAATACTCGACTGAACAAATCGCCTTTTGCAAACGTCACATTCGTAGGGTTTGTCTCCTGTGTGCGTTCGCTTATGTTTAGCCATATCGTTCGATTGGGAAAAGCGTTTCTTGCAAAATTCGCATTCGTAAGGTTTCTCACCAGTGTGGGTTCTTTTGTGTTTTCGTAAGCCACTTGTATCGTAGAATCGTTTCTCGCAAACATCGCATGCATGAGGCTTGTCTCCGGTGTGAGTTCGATAATGTTTTTGTAAATTGCTTGATTGCAGAAATGTTTTCTTGCAGACGTCGCATTCAAATGGCTTTTCTCCCGTGTGCGTTCTCTTATGTTTTATCAACCCTTGCATTTGGGAAAGTCGTTTCTGACAAACGTCGCATTCGTATGGCTTTTCACCAGTGTGGCTCATTTTATGAGCGGCTAATGCACTTGGTCGTCGATAAACCTTATCGCACTCGTCGCACTCGTGCGATCTTTTTTCTTTTAATTTTGTAAAGTTTGGGGATGTCTTGATGCAAACATCATCTTCATAATCACCATCGTCATTATCTTCATTATCTCCATCAACATCATCATAATCAACATCATCATTATCATCATCACCCTCATCATCAACACCATCATTATCATCAAGATGATGATCATCATCCTTATCACCATCACTATTATCATTATTCAAGTGCTCATGATGTGTTTCTTCAGCGTGACGGGTCTCTTCACCTTGTACTTCATGATCATTTAAATTGTCATTATAGGTTTCTTCAGAGGGTGTATTAACATCAAATAAGTGCTCACGATGGGTTTCCTGAGCGTGTACTTCAGTATCAACCAAATGCTCTTGATGGGTCTCCTCTGCAAGAATTTCATCATCATCCAAGGTCTCATGATGAGTTTCTTTCGCGTGTATTTCTCGTTCACGCTCGCAATTTGTTTCCTCGCATTGTACTTGATTTGAGGTCACGTTTTCGTGACGAGTTACTTCGGCTTGGGTTTTATTTCCCCCCAATTGCTCACGGGTTGCTGCAGAGTCTATTTCAATACCATCCATGTGCTCAACATTGTTTATTTCAGTATCCTTTACACTGTCATCGGAATGGCCATGGGCATGGCGGGTTTCTTCATTGTCAGTTTCATCATCGTGACTTCCAGAGCCATCCAATTGCTTATGATGGGTTTCTTCGCCACTTTTTGCATTGTCATCTAAATGGTCATGGTGGGTTTCTTTAGCGTGAACATGTTCATCATCTATGACCATGTCTTTATTATTACTTTCTGCAGGATGGATTCCAAAATCGCTTAAATGAACGTGACTTTCACAGCCACCTAAATCCTCATGATGGTTTTCTTCAGGGTGCGGTTTATTTGTGGTGTCAAGGCAGCTAGGTCCGGCATGATCGCACTCGACAGATTTCTCGTGGGTGGACGTAACCTGATGCTTCACCAGACCAAATGATTGCAAGAAATTCTTTTTCTTTTTGCAAGCCTCACATTCATGGGATTTTTCCTTTATGTGTGTTTTCTTATGTTTAGCGAGACTACTCAACCTCGAAAATCTTTTCTGACAATCATCACATTCGAAATGTTTTTTCTCGGGTCGACTCTCGTCTCTTCCCTTTTTACGTTTTTTTGCATTTCTGGGTTTCAGAATTCTTTTACTGCGTGCATCAGATTCATTACTCATTTTCTAGGGCAATTTGGTTTGCGCTTAGTTGAAAGACCACGTTTTAGTTGTTTTCCTATAGTCCGTCTCTTTGCAATTTTCCGTTTAGAAACCTTGCGCGCATCAGATTCTTCGTTTTGCTCCTTCGGACACGCTTGTCTATGCTTTCTCAAAAGACTCGACCTTGAAAACGACTTCTCACAAACCTCGCATTCAAACGTACTTTCATCTAGACGAGCCTCCACCCGTCTTTTGCGCTTCTTTGAGCTTCTTGGCTTTGCAGATATTTCAATTTGTGCATCAAAAGTATCTTTTCTTCTTTTTCGTGTCCTTAAAGTTCTTATTCCTACATCCTCTTCATCGGGTGCATCAGATCCCCCAGTTTGCTCTTCCACACAAGTTTTTTTATGTCTTGTCAAAAGACGGCTTTTTGAAAACGACTTGCCACAAATGTCACATTCAAAAGCCTCTTCTTCCAAAAAATCTTCTTCATTTCTCTTTTTACGCTTCTTCCTAACTTTCTTTCTTACCTCATTCTCAGTTTGTTTCCTAGTTTGTTTTCCACATGTTTTTTTATGGCTTGAAAGAAAATCTGGCCTCGCAAATAACTTTTTGCAAAGATCACACTCGAATGGCTTCTCCCCCGTGTGTGTTCTTTTATGACGTACTAAGGTACTCGACTGCGCAAACCTTTTTTCGCAAACGTCACATTGATACGGCTTCTCTCCCGTGTGCGTGCGTTTATGTTTGATTAACACGTTCAACTGGGCAAAACTTTTATTGCACAAATCACATTCGTATGGCTTTTCACCAGTATGCACTCTCCTATGCACCGCCAGGGTGGTCGATTTGGGAAAGGTTTTCTGGCAAAACTCACATTCATGTATTTTCAGGCTATTATTCATCAATTTAGCGTCATGACACTTTTTGTGGTTAACTAAACTACTCAACCTTGAAAATTGTCTATTGCAAAACTCGCAATCAAAACATTTCACTGCGTCGTGAGTTTTTCGATGCTTTTTCAGACCGTTAGGTTGAGAAAATCCTTTCTCACAAACTTCGCATTTGAACGGCCTCTCTCCGGTGTGAACTCTCTTATGAGCAACCAGAGTACTCGCTTTTGTAAATCGCTTCTCGCACATGTCACACGCGTGGGGTTTGTCCCCCGTGTGTCCACGCTTATGATCCGCCAGACTACTTGACTGCGTGAACCGCTTCAAGCAGATATCACATTCGTAGGGTTTTTCACCAGTATGCGTCCGCTTATGTCGCTGTAGACTACAGGATGTCGAGAATCTCTTTCCGCAAATATCGCATTGAGGCTTGTTGTTGAATTCCTGCTCGGCTACTACAGGGGTGATGATTATTTCCAGTTCATGAAAAATATCCCATGCTTCATCCATGTTGTGAAAAAGCACTCAGGAAAATATACCAAGAAAATCCTACCGATATAAAAATTGATATCAAATCCTCTGTAACTTCATCTAATTCGATATGAAGATATCGGGTGATATATTTGATAGAGTAGCTAATGGTAGTATATTATATGATGATGAATAAGAAATATCTATGTTGGCAATTATATTTGGTGGTAAACTGTGGTGGTAAACTGTAAATGGTAATGATATCAAATCCGCTTGTGAATTCGATATGGAGGTATATTTGGTGATATATTAGATATGGTAGTCAATTCTATATGGTATAATTCTTCATGGTGACAAATTCTATTATATATGTTAGTATATATTATATGTGTTAGTATATATTATATGTGTTAGTATATATTATATATGGTAGTATATATTATATATGGTAGTATATATTAAATATGGTAGTATATATTATATATATGGTAGTATATATTATATGGTGGCAAATTTTATGTGGTGGTAAACTGTAAATGGCAATGAATTATTCTGTATACTGCTGAATTTTACATAGTAGTGAATTCTACAATGGTATGTCTTTTCTATATAGCATTTTGAATTTGGGAATTATCAAATGTTTCATTTGCTGGTTGAACAGGTGCACCACAAAGCATGCACAGATTTTCTTCATAATTGAAGTGCGTAATTTCACTGCCATTTTGTATAATCTGCTTATAGCAGTAAACTCTATATGGTGGCGAATTTTATGAATGCATATGACAATCTACAATACAACTGGAAACATTTGACTTTGTAGAAGAAGAATTTCATGAGCATCAGTCACCCATCATTATTTTCTATGGTCTATACCCAGATAGATATAGAACCATATCATCTGAGAGCCGTGTCCTTTTTCAACGTTTTCACAGGGACTATTATAGTTAAATAAAACCACACCTGATTTTCAGTTCCGATTAAGCCACACTAATTCCCACCAGATTGTATTAACTTGTATGGCATCATGTTGGCTTTATTAATAGGCACCAGAAATTTATGTTTATTGTTTTGACTTGACATTTGCCACAAAATTTCTTACAACATTTTCCCTGATTGAACCACATATTAAGTGGTTATATTGATACTCAGATTGCCATCAGACTATGATAATGTTACTCTGTGGAGCAAAATACCCCATGCAAACTGCAAACACCAATGCCATATTTAAACATTTCGAGATGAAAATCAAACTGATAAAATACCAACAGTTTTTTGGACAACACCTTTCCGTTTGTTTGGCTCAGATCAAATCAAATGGAATAGTCATATTAAATCACAAAATGACTATTTATGATATGTTACTGTAAAAGAAAGATTGGAAGGGCGATGTAGCCTCTCTGGATAAATCACATTCATAACTGTTTCAGATTGTATGATATACCATTATAAAGGCTAAAACTGTTCATTGTAAGTGATTTGAAAGCCAACAAGTATGTAATCTGATGCACATACTATTATACACAAGCGAACAAATATGTCATCTCAAATATTTGCTGCAATTTGACTGTTAAACGTCAACCATTCTAGCAAAGTTTGGTCAACTTCTTCATGTAATATTCGGTTATCCATCTACTGGTGATTCTTTGCAATGCATCCTTGTGCTATTGTCCATTTAAATCAAGATATTTACAACATGCTTTGTAATTCTTGGTATAAATTCCATAGTATATCATAGGTATAATAATTACATAAAAATATTCAAAATGGGTTTTACTTTACATGTTGAGAATCCTATTCTACATTCTATTCATTGTGTCAACATCTCCCCCATAACCCCCCATAATCAACCTTGCATCAGTGGTAATAATACATAACATTTAATACTGAAAGCATGTTGCATGACAAGCCCTCTCATAACAAAGAGAAAATAATGATTCATAAACACTGAAATGGATGTCAAACACATTCTTCCATAGACATTTTAAAATGAACAATACATAAGAGACATGAAAGATAAACCATCCATCTAAACATTTACACACCCCAAAATCGCTGAAAAGCTCATTGATTGATACACACGGCTAACACTCATCCATATATTATATTGTTTTATGAACGCGAAAGCTTTATATTTTATCGTGTTTTGAAATGTGAAAGTACAATTTAAAAGCGAGAATTCTTCATGGGCAGCATTTACTACCCTATGAGTGAACTAGAATGAGAAATAGCTTTATTATTGCAGCCGTTGGGTTTCAACATGCATATATTCATCACATCGCGACTATTTACTTCCAAATAAGATATAACAACCTTCGTATTTTACGGTGTAAGATATATCACAATAAATATAAATATTATAAATTTCACACAACGTGATACATACCACTGAATATATTCTTCGAAGTTGAAAAATTCAAGTTCTCCTTGCTGTACTTTTAAGCCGAAAGTTCATAAAAATTTGAATTCACATTTCAGAATACAGAAATAGAAATCGCCGTTTGCGGCAATGGCGCATGCTCAGAGCCAGATATGTCGGCATGAAAATACTAAAGTGGCCAAACATCTTTAACTATGCCTGAATCTGATTGGTTTGTACTGCATGTTCGATGCTCTGATTGGTCAGTTAGCGCGGGAATGACACACGAGTTATTACAGGGCTCGAGGAATAAGACTAAACTTAAGTTTCCGCCTTTGCGAGTAAGCTGGAAGGATGACAATAATTTATAGAGCTGGAGAAATTCGATGAAATATTGTTCCTAAAATGGCTATACTTCATGTATCATCTCAAGGGGGTAATATTTCATCGAATTTTCCAAGCGCATGTTTCATAAATTATTCATCACATCGGAACAACGTGTATTGTACTTTTTATCAAAATTTATGCATTCTGATTGGGTTATTGAAAATGTAAACAAACTTGCTGATTGGTCTAAAACGAAATTCCCCCTTGTTTGGTCGATCTTGCTTTGTGCGAGACACCCTCGCGTGGTACGCGCAACTGATACCAACGTCCAACGGGGAATGACATTTTTGTATGATATAAAATATGAGGGAAACTCGCTAATGTTTAGGTAATGTGCAGTTGGATTTCCTTGCAGGATATTTTGACTAAATTTTAGCAAAGTGGGCTTGGAGATGATGCAGGTTCACCGTGGTCTCCATTTTTCCCTCTTTGCCACAACTGCGTTTCCGGGCGTTTCTAGTTTAGAAAAGTCCTAGTCATTTTCTTCTGTTTGAAGTTTTTCCTGTGCAGTCACAAGATAACTGTAACAGCGTGATGCTGTTATGCGCATGCCTATTTCTCCCGACAAGCATTGATCAATTATATCTTTAACTTCAGGCATCCTGATCTTGCAGCCGGGTTTTTGAGGGCGATATCCGGAGATTACCTTTTCCATAAAATTGTATTTGTTCAGAGGCAATATTTCCGAGAAAACCTGGCTACCATGCCACATTTCCCAGAACACAAGACCCAGACTGTAAACGTCGCTTCCAGCGCTGTATACGTAGCTGTTGGATTGAAGTACTTCCGGTGCTGTGTAAATCATATTATATTGGGTCGGCTCGTTTCGACCGATAATCCCAATGTCAGAGACCTTAACACATCCGTCTGGACCGACCTTAAAATAAAAAGATTATATGAAGAAAAATAAGAATAAGAAAAAACATGTTGGATACCGGAGGAAGAATAGCTGCCCTTTGCAGGCTATCATTTACGTGTTTACGTCGCCAAATGAAATGGGGGGGGGGGGGAAGTCCAATGCCCCAGCTACCAACTATCAACTGATATTGATATATTTATTGCGTTCTTTTCTGGATCTAAATATCCATGTCGACTTCTTATATGGACGGATGAACAGGTCTGTTCACCCGATCTAATTTTTTCACTCCATCCAATTCATTGGTGTATATGGAATGTACTCCGTTATTGATAAAGCAGTATTGATTTTAGTTGATTTGCTAACCATATACTGATATACATTGCAAGTCAACACACTATAAAACACCCATCGAAAGTAAATCGGATACTACAAAATTGGATCGTGTGAACAGACCTTAATATCATTGATCCTTCAGGTTAGAATGTCCATTGAACACTCCAGATATTCACTAGGTCCACCGTCGCCATGGGGAACATACTTAGGTAAATCTACTTTAAAATACTAACCAATATGTTTTCCAGTGTCAGATGCTTGTGGACTAATTTCAGGCAATGTATGTAGGTCAGTGCGTTAGCGATTTGCATCGCCCACTCAAGAAATTGCATGATTGTAGAACGTTTCGTCGCTATGGCGTTAACCGGTGGCGTAAAATTACGGCTAAAGATCACACTTCGAAGATTGTGTTGGTACATGGTCATGACCAATGCTATCCTGATATCTTCTACAGCTTGTGAAGTAGGGTCCTTTAAGATGAAAGCTCCAAGGAACTTGCAAATGTTTTCGTGTTCCAAATCCCTAGACAAGGAAAAGCAATGCGGCATGGAATCAGAATTTACCTATTTGAAGTATAAAAAGGGTGTAGTATGCATATCATTCTATTTACCTTATCTTTGCTTCATTTTTCAGAAAATAATTCGCATTGGCGCTATCAAGCGGTTGTTTAAAAACTTTAATAGCCACGATCGCTGGACTGCCTTCTTCGGAAATACCTGGGTCGATTTTGGTCAAAATACCCGTGTATACTGAGGAAAATTCCCCCAGGCCAATACAACAATGTTCATCCTCACTCCAGTTGAGACGCTCGGCTCTGACCGTTCCGGACCAGATGAGGATACCGAATAAAGATAACATTCTTTGCAATTCCTTACATTTTCTAAAAATGGGCGAGTTTGCCCGCCATACCTCATCCTTCGATCTAGTTTCATTCATCAGTTCCAACGCCATCCTTCTGTTTGCTTCGAGGATTCTCGGAATTCTGGAGACGTACTCTTGCAACATGGCTTCTGCCAGGTGCATCTGTTCTTTAACGAAGACGCGTACTTGATCTTTATTCGCACATCTCGAAGCTAAAAATTTTTTAGACCGTTTTATCAAATACGCCATTCTATCCTTTCGGTACGTGTCCATCCTCATTTTTTCACTTATGCTTTGCCGCGCTTTCTTTACGACATGCAAGGGCATCGTCACAATCAAACTCGCAACACCAACAGTGATCCACAGCGGAGATTTCTTGCCGTTTATAAACTTTGGCGTGACATCGAATTCAGGTCTTTCTCCTTTCTCGGTCGATTCTGAACTAGCTTGTGATTGTCGGGTGTGTATCACTTCCTCTATGTCCTTTATTTCTGCCTCCGCGAGCCGAAATCTACCGGAGAAAAGAAGGAATAGTGACTATTTAAACAATACAGAAAGAGGGAAATGATTCGTAGCTTCAATGTCACGAATCTTGATAAAAGCAAGGGCCCTGATTTGCGGGGGGGGGGGGAAGGGTTCATTTAGGGGTGTTAGGCGACATCTCCACCATGGGCTTCTAAAATTCTAAAAATAGGGGTTCTTCCATGCTGATGATTTAGCAACGTTTTGACTTTTGAGATTTGTTCTTCTTCTAAACTGGTCTTCTTTCACCATGAGATAAACCCTCTAGATCTTTCTAGCCAGATTTCAACGTTTTAGGAAAATGGTTTCTTGGACGATTGGCGACCGCCCCCGATAAAAGGTCTTACTTGGTTTGAAAACATTCGACGAGCTCATCGTGTACTTTAGCGTGGACACCATTCGCTTCTTCCCAATTTGCCAAAAACGTTTCAAATCGTTTCTCTAAAGCGCTGACAATCATGGCTTTCGTCAATATCCACGTTTTCTCATCGCCAGGAATCTCGTCGTCGTACCAAGAGGTAAAACTCGCTTTAAATTCCGGACAAGAAAGATATTCGTAGAGCGCATCAACGAGGATTTCTGTTTCAGCTGCAAACTTCTTCTCCAGCTGAGCAATATCTTCCTGACGTGCGTTTTGCAGCGTCGTAATCTGTCCGTGAATTCCACTCATTCGCTGGATAAGTGCATCGCGGTTTTCTAACATCGATTGATTAAATCCCTCAATCCTGAATATTATTCGATTCAAAACCAGATTCATCCACCTAAGAGAAATAAATATCATTGTTGAAGTCCAAATTTGCCGTAACCGTCGTAAAAAAATCATTTTCTATGATGTAGGATAGTCTGGTCGTAGTTCCTCCCTCGTGTCTCGTAAAATACCCCCTACTTCTTTTTATTGCAAGCATTGCAAGTTCATTACTTTGTTATAATATGTGCACTTACGCCCAATGGTTGATTAGTCTGCTGTTGATTGCTTTCAAAACCATCGACTTGATCCCTTCAATCAAAGCATCGTATTCTTCGCTTCTTTTACCTTGCCTTCGCTTGTCTAGTGCCTCCTTAGTGGAGACGTAAACCGTTTGTTCAAGAGGATTACCGTCTGGCCAATACTGCTTCAGTTCCTGCACAATATGTTGCTTCACCTCAGCCTGTTCATCTTTGTCCACCTGATCCCACTTGTTGGCAACGAAAAGAGCGCACTCGGCCAAATGATTTGAATTCATTTCGTCAGAAGATTCAAGACTTCGAACTTTATCCAATATTCTTACCAACTGAAATGAACAAAGCCAGTATTGATTTTTTGACACAATATCAACACTTATCCTTTTCTTCAAAAAAGACCGGGAACTGGTAAACTTATCCAGGATAATCTCTAGATCTCAGACTTTCGACGTAAGGAAAGTTGGTGTGGAAAGGAAAAAAGTTTGCATTCGGTGAATGGGCCTGTGTTGTCCATGCAGTGAATTAAAAACAGGCGACTATATTATTGTGAACTGGAATCCGCAATGATGTTGGGCTAGCCTTTGTGTTACCTGCCTTGTCAGTTGATAAGTGAAAAATAAATTGGAAGATGAAAAAAGGATATTCAGGAAAACTACGAGATCATGTGTTTCAGTTGTTTTCTACGGTGGGTGAAACAATATTAATTCAAAAAGAAAATATGGCAATACCCACCCTGTCTTTTTGTATTCCACCAGCATTTGTACTATTTATGACATAGATGAATGCAAAAGCATTTGGCAGGTAACTCATCAAAGTTTGATCCATTATTTCGGATTCGCCAACACCTGGGCTGTCGATTATGACAACGCCGACCTACAATATGTGATAACTATTATGATCAAGTGTCTTTTCTAATTCCCACCCCTCTCCCCACTTTCCGCATGATTTCACTTTACTATCAACAACTAGAAACGTATGAAGCCTCTTTAGACCTCCCCACAATAGCAAATTAGATTGCAGTCGCAACCTGCAACCTCGCCACATACACTCATCGCATGCTTTTTTTTCAAACGCTCAGAAATTGCCCGTTGTTCGTTATAACTTGCGTTAAAGCTTTGTATCTTTAAATTGGGGTTGTTTTTAAAAACGTTTAGCTCAAAATTTGTAATTTTACTGCTTTTCAGGCATGTTTACAACGGTTGAAAAATTCCCTATCCGATGGATAGCCGCGTTATCCAGCTTTCATACAACTGGCCCTAGTACTCTTTTCTTCTAACCTGTAACAATTCATTCGGCCAGAAAATTTCCACTTTTTCATACGAGGTTCCTTTCCCCCTGTCCTTCTTCTTGTGTACGTAAGGAGCAATTTGTGCTTTGTAGCTTTTATCACAAACGTCAGGCTCTTTCAAACGCACCGTTTTCGGCGGCAAAGGTGGATAGGATTCTGAATCGTTGCTGGTACCTTTGCCGTGTGCCACAAGTTTGGGATCGATTCCGTATTTTATTTCGCATATTGTAGATGTTGTACTGAGACAGGAGTAAGGAAGCAGCTCCACGCCAAGCAACAAGTTTATCAGACAGCTTTTTCCCGAACTTGTTTCTCCTATAAAGGAGTCAAATTGTCATCTTTCCAAACTTTCCCAAATTTAATCAAACAAATCAGTTGAAGAAGGACTTGGTTTTCGAAGGTCGAATACACCGGTATATAATATACTCGACCTTGGTAATACAAAACTAGTGAAGGTCGAATATACCGAAATATGGTATACTCGATCTTGGTAATAACAATATAGTGAAGGTCGAATATAACGGAATAAATTATGACATACTCGACTTTGGTAAAATTACGGACGAATATACCGGCAATATTTGGTATACTCGAGGGGACTATATATAATTAAATAATTATTGAAGGTCAAATATTCTGGTATATGCCTATATGGTATATTCGACAGTCGTGGTAGAAAAGTTAGTGATAATAGAAATACGGTATATAGTATATTCGACTGGGTAATAAAATATCCACTTCAATTGCGGGTTAATTGTCACGACAATTTCAGTAAGAGGGAAAATACGGAGCATTAAAAAAGAAATTATATCTCAATGGTTGGATTCACACAGGCGGGGAATATTGAGATTATATACATACCAGCCACCAAGATGTAATAATCTCTTTGCTGTAGTCTCTTGATTCGTTCTTCTAACGTTTGCATAACGTCAGGAAAATCTTCATTAATGATTGACAAAACATTATTTTCCATTCCATTGAGGCAGACTGCTGTTTCCGATAACAATTGCTCCAGACGAGTTCTTTTCAACCCATCCTCTTCTTTCGCATCCAAAATTATCGAAAGACCCTGCATGAAAAACGGAAATTGTTACTGGTTCTTCTATTGACGAGTTTGCTTGTCAGTTGGAACTACAGTTAAATTATTAATCACACTAAAAACAAACAGTCACTTGTAGGATAATAATATTTTTAAGTGTTTTAATTGACAAGTTATGCATGCATGAAAAATTGTGAAAATCACGACGATGTGGACGGAAGTATTGCCACTCGTCGCCAATATAGGAATGAATCAATAGTACTCGACTAAGTTTCCTACAAGTTTAAAATATTGTTAGTTTAAGAGTACACACATAGCTACATTATATTTATGTATTATACTATACCAAAATAGCTGAATTCCGCATAGCTAACATTTATATGTACTGATATAATTATTCAAAAGCCTTTGTAATTGATATTATTGGTTTAAGATATCTCAAGTTCAAGTTGTCTCAGCTCAATTCATTTCAAGATATAACTTCTCTTACGGGTTTATGGCTCTTCTTAACACCATACATATGCATTCTGGGCATAATTGACTTCTATCAGAAAAATTGACTCCTATAGTATGCTGATAACGCGTGGTGTATTTATAATTCTTTAAAATCTTTCTCTACAGTGGAATGCTATGAGAGTTTGAAAAACACCTTTGACAATTTCCACTTCTCAAATTTTGATAGATGCGAACGAGTTGCTGATGCTTTCAAATGTAGAATTAAGTAGAATTACCTAAATACAATTAAGTGAGCATTTACAAATATTCACGAATGCATCAATTCGAAGACAAATATCGGATGAAAATTCAAAGGATAAATGGTCTTATGTCTTTCAATGTATACGTCGTTGACATACATGTATAACATGCATCTCTTTGAACTGCATGTTTACTCGCTGTAAGATTTATTCAGAGTCCATACACAAGAGTCATATGCATTGCATCGCATATTACATAACAATTGTGTGGACAATGACGTAATAACTTTGAAGCCAATTTTCATGAAGAGTTATCCTAATTTTGCGAGTAGTATTGCTCATTGGTTCGGCTAATTTATCTAGTTTCATGTATGAGCAATATCATTGGGATCATATTCCAAAAAAGCAAATAAATACCTTTTGAAAGCCATTAAAAGTCGCTTCTCTTGAACCTCCTGAGGACATTTTGTAGACGATTGAGTAATAAAACTAATGTTCGATGTAGTTGTCCATTTCGTGGCCTCGCAATTCATGATATTAATACATTTCAAAAGATTGACACTTCACCAAGACCAAAGTCAGCCAAAGGCAATATCTATTTAACTATATGATATTTTGATTATACCCACTGCACTAACAAAATCATGCAGGAATTTTAACACAGATTGTTGAAGAATGCTACAATAGTCTTTAGTGCGAGTTCACGCTGATAAAATTCTATGGGTTTGCAACACGAGACATAATAATAATTAAATCATCATCTTGAAGTCTATAATTTCTTTATAAAATATGCAGTTCATTGCCTTTCAAATCCGTCTCCGTGGTTCCGTTCATGGGCTGCTTTGTTTATGTAACCTTTTGAGACGAAAAATTTGACGGGATTTTTTTTACTAGCTTGAACGGTCTTCATTGTATAAAACTGCGTAGCGCCGTGTTAATGGAGTTTGTTTAGGCCTACTATGCCTACACTTTGCGATTTGTCGCGTATACGATTCTTACCCTGGCGTACATGTGAATGTATGAACACACGTACAAACGTGACACTTTAAATTCCACCATGAACAAAATGAATGAATATTGTGGCATAGGCCTTCTTTTGCATTCGTCAGAATGATAATTGAATACAACTTATCTCCAGGGGCCGGTTGTTCCAAAGGCGTTTATCTTAAACGGTGGATAAGTTCAAAATGGAAAACAAAATTATCTATTTATTGAACAACTGAGCTGAAATATTTCGATATAAATGGTTTAATTGTCAATAGAAGTACATATTAAATGCATACAATGTAGGTTCAGTCATTCACAAGATCTATGAAAGTATTTTTAGACTTTGGCTTATCCACCGTTTAAGCTAAACGTCTTTCGAACAACCGGCCTCAGTAGTCTAAATAGGCCTTTTGAGAGAAACAGAGCCCAATAGTTAATTTTAGTTCATTGAGCCTTGCCTTTTTCTTTCTAAAACGAAGAGATTGTCGGCAGCTGGTGATCTTAATCAGTCGGCACCCGGCTTTATTATCACCTAATTATTCAACTGAATCGATTAATAACAGGCAGTTTTCCGGTTAGGATTGGCGTTAGGATTGGGGTAAGAATTACGGTTTAGATTAGGATTACGATTATGCTAGAATTAGGGTTGAGGTTGACCAGGTTTTAGGCATAAATTATACACAGGAAAGTACGCATCCAGTTTGGTAACGCATTTTTGGTGCATATTTCATACAAAGTTTACCTGCATTTTTCCAGGACAACCTCCATTGAATTTCCTGCATGCTATCAAAGGAAAAGTAGCATGAAGCAAGAATAATTACAATTGAATATTACTGCAGTTTAAAAGTCCCAAACATAAGCTAATTAATTTAGAACATCTTATACACAATCTTTTCTCAGGTATAAAAGGTATTAACTAGTTTGTTTTTTCCTGAAAAAGAGCAAGTGCATGCGCGTAAAAATTACCCCGGATCAATATTAAGACTTTCATGCAACTATAGAACTAAAACGGCCGCATTTTTATCTTTGTATTATGACAACGGCTGAGCAGAATCAACAAACCGAGCTTATATGTAGACGACCCTTGCTTTTTAGGATGATATAATTTTGCATTATTTAAAAAAAACACGATGCTTTGACAACTTTAGTAGCTGATTTTTATAAGCACAAGCATAAACAAAGAAGAGAAGTATGCAGTGGCGTTATGCAGGGAGCCAAATTACAATATACAAGAACGAGTGCAAAATACATCATTATCAACTAAAGGCCTGTTTACATGGAACGAGTTATTCCGGCTAAGCGAGGTAAAAAGCGCATCACATCAAAGGCTTAACCTGATTAGTCTTTCATTATATGCAGTTTTCACCTCGCTTATAGCCGGGATAACTCGCCCCATGTAAACAGGCCCTAATTCCCTTTTATTATTCGTTTAAAAACTATACGCTCGGTGCAATCTCAGCCTTGTAATAAGACAATTCATTCTTTCTTTCATGGTCCAGTGGTTCAGGATATTTAACGGCCGGCCCGCGATCATTACGTTTCCTGCTGGGGAAAAGTGCAACTGATCACACTGACAGCACTAATTGCGATACATATAAAGATGGTTTATAAAAGGTCGTGTCTATTTTATAGCGCCGCCAACTTAGCAAAAATTTGAATGTGAACTTGAACGATAACCACTGACGATAACTCGGCCGCCATCTTTGAAGCCGAAGCAGTCCCTTTCGGATTGCTTTTGTCTTCACGGTTGACGATCGCGCTAAAAAAAAGGCAACAGAAAAGGACTGGCACTGGTATCAATTTCGGCTTCAAATTGACTTCAAAGATGGCGGCTAAATAACCCTCAGTTATCGTTCCATGGTTTATAAAGTTCGCTGTATGTTATTACTGAATATATTGAAATGAAAGACATAAATTTATGATGCTGTGATATAGGGTGGCACTGATTACATCATCTTTAAAAATTGATAACTTATATATTGCAAAGAAATGCAAAATTAATGTAAGAAAATGTGAAGTACCTTTAACTAGAGTAACATTCTACGATTGTAAAAAAAATGGCGGATGTCTGCGGTCTGAAATGAATTATTACTTCCTTGAGTTTGAAGGACAGACATGAGAATAGAGGCTGTTTTGCTTTGGTTGCCTACACCGCTTCCACTCTTTTTGAAATAATAGATTGCAGGCTCAAGTTGTTGTCGTACAAATGTCGGTGACTACGCCAGCTATGTTTTTTGGGCAAGAGACGAACCCAAATTCTAATTATATCCTTCATTTCCGGTCTTGCCTTAGGGTCTTTTTTCGTACACGCTTTCACAAGCTGTTTAGCATTCTCATATGGAATCTCTTTCATTTGATTTCTTCTATTTTCTGGATCAGGCAGTTCGCAGATGGATATCTCACATACAAGAATCCCATAGCTATAGACATCTATCTGTGTAGATAAAGTTAATCGCATTAATACAAGTCAAGTAAATTAAAACATTCGGCTTCGATACCATCAGAAATTAACCACAGGAAGCCCTCTAATTAAGTGAACGTATGAAAAAGTCGACTTAAATTTTATTACCTTTGGGCCGTGCCTATCTTCGTTACCTTCAGGTGCGGCATAAAGGACCGCCCCTGGATTTGGTGTGTTGCATATATCCATGTAGCTAGCTGAGCCATAATCTGATATCTTCGCTCTTCTAACTTCATGATTAAAAGTGTCCATCCATAACAATACGTTGGAACTGCTAACATCGCGATGGACTATTGTGTTTTGTTTTGAATGAAGGTAGTTAAGACCACACGCAACGTCCAAAGAAATTAATTTAATTTGCTGATAATTCAATCGCGATTGCTTTTTCGCCCGTTCCTCGAGAAAACAATGCAAAGTCATATCCATCAGTTCTGTCACGATTAACAAAATATTTTGATCATTTCTCGTCGCGCATATGAACTGAAGTAAATTCGGATGACGACATTGCGATGCGATATATACCTCGCGTTGGAGAAGTTGCAAGTTACAATCAGATATAATAACTTCGTGGTATTCTCTAACCGCTACTTTGGATCCATGAAAATCTCCCTTGTATACAGTGCCATAAGCCCCTAGTCCGAGTACATTAGTTGAAACCACTACGGCACCTTCTTCAACCCTAGACGTAGCGTCTGATGTCATATTGTCGATATGTCTTCGAAGTTGCTGAATTTCATGCTTCATCCCATTTCTTTCTTCCTGAAGACGCTGTATCTCATTACTCATCTCCTTCTTTTCTCTCTGATGTTGCTGAATTTCATTGCTCATCCCATTTCTTTCTTCCTGAAGACGCTGTATCTCATTACTCATCTCCTTCTTTTCTCTCTGATGTTGCTGAATTTCATTGCTCATCCCATTTCTTTCTTCCTGAAGACGCTGTATTTCATTACTCATCTCATTCTTTTCTCTCTGGTGTTGCTGAATTTCATTGCTCATCCCATTTCTTTCTTCCTGAAGACGCTGTATTTCATTACTCATCTCATTCTTTTCTCTCTGGTGTTGCTGAATTTCATTGTTCATCTGGTCTATACTGTCCCAAAGTTGCTGAATTTCATGGCTCATCTCATTTCCTTCTTCCTGAAGTAGCTGAATGGTAATCTCCGTTCTGATCTTATCATCCTGAAGTTGCATAAATTTACTTTTCATTTCATTCTTTTCTACATCTTTGTTCTTGTTTTTTTCACAAAGTTCATCAATTTTTTCATTCATATTTCTGTTTTCTTGACGAAGTTCCTCAACTCCTTTATTCTCATCGTTGTTTTCCTGACGAGGTTTCGTAGACTCGTTATCGTTTTTGATGGCGTTTGTTTCACGAATTTGTTTGATTTCCTCGTTCTTTTTATTGTTTTCATGACTAAGATTTACAATTGCGTCATTCAATTCGTTGATAGATTGACGAAGTTTCTCTATTTCTATGTTTTTGTCTTCGTTTTCACGATCAAGTTGCTGGATTTTGTCATTTTGGTTTTGGTTTTCTTGGCGAAGTCCCGTAGTTAGATCAACCATTTCCTTAATTTGTTCTTGTAGATGACAAATTTTCTTGTTATTGCAGTTGTTTTGCTGACGGAGTTTTTTAATTTCGGCGCTGTTTTCCACCTTAAGTTGGTCAATTTCGGTACTTTTGCTTATGGTTTCTTCCCTTAGTTGATCAATTACTTTATCCATCATTTTGTTAATTTGATCAATGTTTTCAATTTTTTTACTCTTGTCGTTATTTTCTCGACGAACTTGTTCAATTTCGTCTTTTTTGTTGCTATTTTCTTGACGAAGTCGCATGATTTCGTTATTTTTGTTGGTGATCTCATAACGAAGTTGCTCAATTTGGTCATGGCTTACGCTTTTATATTTACGAAGTTCCTCAATTTCGTTATTTTTTTTGTTGTCTCCTTCGCGAAGTTGCTCGATTTCCTTTTCTTTTTGGTAGTTTTCTTGACGACGCTCCTCGACTTCTTTATTCTTTGTGTTGTTCTCTTGACGAAGTAACGCGATTTCATTATTCATGTCACTATTTACCTGAAAAAGTCGTTTGATTTCCTTGTTATTGTCGCTATTTTCTTGGAGAAGTTGCTCAACGACGTTGGTTTCGTTGTTGTTTCCTTGACAAAGTTCCTCACGGATTTTTTCATTCTTGTTGTTTTGTCCACGAAGTTGTTCAATTTCTTTTTTTCGGTGGTTGTTTTCTTGAAACAGGTGAAGTATCATGCTGTTTTTGTTCAAGTTGTCTTGTGTAATATATTGCATCTCGGTGTTCATGCCGTCATTTTCGTTTTGAAGTTGCTGAATCTCACTGTCTTGGGCTTTACTTTTTTGTTGAAGCTCATTGATTTCATCTCTTATTCGCTTTCCGTCCATTATTTGAAGACGAAATTCTTCGGCCTGCTCTTCGTCTTCTTTATCATGACTTATTACGCATTCTGTATAATTAGAAGGCAAACAGGAATAAATATTATATAAAACATAAAGGAAAGTATACAATGTAGCTGTGTTCTATATGTGTGACATTCACATTGTGACGTTTTAATTCGTGGTTTTTGCCTTCTACCATTTTCGGTAAACAACTAACTACTCGTATGAACTAATATAACCAGGGAGCAGCGTAGCAGCGTCTTCAAACAACTTAGCATGAAATATGGTATAAAAACTGCCTAAAATAGACAACCCCCTCTCGACGTTTCGACCTGAGGGCCTTTGTCAAGGGTCGGTACGTACCTATATGAACAAGCTTTGCTATTAGTTGATGATAAAAATAAAACAAAATGAGCTATAGAAATTGATTTTTAAAAGAACGAATCATGAACACTGTTCACTTTTGTTACAAAAAGCCAAACACAAAACTCGTTCATACTAGGTAGATACTTACTGTTCGTCAGGAGAGTTAGTGTGAAAATAAATAGGGAAGAATAAATGTTTTGTATGTGGAAACGCGTGATAAACACGTGGAAACACGTGGCCCGGATATTTTTAAAGAGACTAAGGGGTTATCGGTGAAAGTGGAAGATGTCTCGGGATAACGCTGCAGGATATGAAAATTCCTAAGTATGACATCCCTAACAGTAACAGCAAAATTGAAGGGATGACGTGTCAGAACTAATTAAGGGGGTAGAACTAATGCTAGGGGTGGTAGAGACAGGGTTTCTAAGGGTGTCTAAGAGGGAAATGTCGGAAGCCTTAGAAAAGACAGTGCCAATAAGTGAGGAGGGATCACCCGATAAAGAATGTTCAGTCTCATCTCCAGACACTTGGCTTGGATAAAATGAACCCAGTTTGAGAGTTGACCTAAATAAGCCGGAAGTACTTGCGAATTGTTTGTGTTGGAACGTCCGGGAGAAAAATGTTCAACTTCAGCTTGGAAGATCTTTCCTCCAAAAAGAGAAAAATTTGATTAATTAAAGATATGCAGAGGAAATCTGTCACAAAGAACCACGTCTTTTATTCTTATAAAAATTCGTTTCGCCAAATTTTGTTCACATTTTTCTTTTTCCTACAAACTATCGTCTCGGGAAAAATGAAGGTAACCATATAAGTACTTGTTAAACTTCGTTGTTACAATAACTTATGTGGAAAGCTGGATTGTGCCTTCGGTTTGTTTACTCGTGCATGTTCAATGCTTTTTATCCGTGTACACGCTGTGAAAACCCTGTTTAATTTTCCATGTAGTTATTACTTTCAATTTTTTATATGGTTATTACCTTCATCTGTCTTTCGTTCATTTCTGACCTTTTTCCTGACCTAAATGAATGATCGTACAGCTTTTGTGACATAGAGTTTACAATTTAACCACCGAGCGCGTACCCAGACGCTTAATTGCCTTCGCCAATATTCATTGCGGCAGAATATAATGAAAACTAGCACTTTTGCTCTCCTGCCTGGAGTAAACTGAGTCCTCTTCTAACAATAAATTAAACTGATTTATGTTAAACTGATGGAGATAACTATGCATGCAGTTTACCTTTGATACATCTACACTTGGTTGGGCTCTTTGACTTGACACGGTTGGTGTTCGAAAAATGGGTCTGAAAACTCGATGCCATATTAAATCCCAGGGCCCACGGTAATCAAGACTATCGCTCCCAGACGAGGCCATGTTTGTATGCTACACAAATAGTGTAGCTTCATTCCATCTTCAATAGTAGACAATTTTTCGTTGTATATCTAAGTATTGCTCTCTAAATTCAAAAAATATATGTGCAAAGATGTAAGGCTGGTTCCCAGTAATCTGTTTTCATACAAAACACAAAACATGAAAAGAAAAATACTAACAAAATTACATTAACAAAATGTACACAAGTATAAAGTAAAACATTAAGTCCACATTTCCCAAGCAATCAACGAAGAAGAATATTTACTCAGATGGGAAAAGTACATTGCGAATGTTTGGGATGGCTGATGCCGTAAATTCTAGTTTAAAAGGAGATGGTGCTCGATTAGAAAAGGCTCTAAATTGTCAGGTCATGTGATTTATGTATAATAATAAAAAAAAAACATTGCAAGTGACAAAGATAGAACAATCATTGGATATATATTGTGTTTTAGAATATTTATCTCACTGAATAGTTATTGACATGCAAATTAAATTGGTCACATTAAAATGGGTATGTATATAGCTAATTTATTTACATTGCTTAAATTTTTCCGCATGTTTTTTTTTATATCGAAAATTTTATTGATTATACCTACACTACATGATATTAATCATATTATATAGAACATATATGAACTAAAAATGTAAACAAACTGAACGAATTGTTGCATTTATATTACGGACTGTAAACAACTTTCAAATCACCATGCAAATAGCATCCAATCTTGGTTTCACTTTCAATTTACGGCACAAAAATCCATAGTTCTGAACATATATGAAGCAGCCTTGTCGCAAGTCTGATAGCTTAACAGTCAACATGGCAGACAGGTTAATTTAATACACTGCTATCATACGACTATATATAAACCCCGATTCATACGGCTACTTCCTATAGTAATAGCTATAGACGAGGGTCTTCATGCATGAAATTCTATACGTTTGCCCTATACGTTTCAAATGTGCTGCCCAAATGTAGCTATTATTTTCGTATAACAAACGAGAGCTAAAAAACTGAGACTCAAGAAAAATGTCTGCACGAATGAGTTATCGTTTTGATAACTTAAATTGAGTAACTCAGTTCGTTCTCGTGTCACGGGTTAACCATAAAGAAGCACAAGATATAACCTTATACCTGACAAAGTTCGTCAACAATGAAACTTCGTATATTTTCACTTCCTTCCGCCTTGTAAAAAGCAAAATCTATCCGTTTTCCATTTTATATTCAGTCTATATCACTCTCAAATGTTACGGCATATGTCACGTATAAAACATGACGAAGAAATAACGCGTTCCTTATTTCTGTCAAAAACAACAATCACAAAAGCGGTTGAAAATCAACAGCTGTGGCAAACTAAACGGCAACACCAGCTGCTTTCAACGAGATTCTTCCATTACGTTGGCGGTGAATATATTTCCCACGGATTCATGCTGTTCTATTTCTTTAGAATTGCTGCTGTCAGATAGCAAGTTTACAATTAATTTAGCGAACGGAGAGATAAAATCTTGTCGCGGGTCGCGGGTTTTTTGTCGCGGGTCGCGGGCTTTTAGAGAGTAGCGTGCATGAGTATATCAGTGTTATTAAAGTTATCTCTTTATATATACCAGAAACTTTTTAGTCAATTATATAATCAAATACGAATCATTATAGATTATATTCTTTAATTATTTCTTAAATTATATTTCATATTCATTGCTCATGATTTGAAAATGTAAATGAATTGTACATGCATGCAAGAATTGTTTAAACAGCATATAGTAGGACGCAATAATTAATGCCTTTTGCGTAGAGATATTTCAAATCCTTAGAAATTAGACTTTGTTTTCAAGTACTGCACGATTAGATAACCATCTATGGAGAATACTGGAGAATACTGCTTCGATAGTAGCTACTTTTCAAGTTTCTGAAGGAAAGATTCGATTCAGCAGGTATGTTCGAAAACTTGTAAAGAGTATACATAAAACTCTTGCTATTTTCCGTGATGTGATGATGCGCGTACAAAAGGCATTAATGACAAAATCATTGTAATTTTAGTGTCTTGACATGGTTAATAATTCAGTATATAGATATTCTATAGTTTCGGTACTGTGATAGATTATTTTTCAACCATTCATATGCAAAAGTACCATCGATTTCGGTACATTTTATTGACAGGATCGACTAATACGTGTTCGAAAATGCTACGATAGAAATGACGACATGCATGTATTTATTATAGCTGATCACCGTCAGTAAATGCAGGAAATTGTGAAAACATATTCCAGTTAGCTCGAGACTTTAAAACGAAAAGCACGCTGTTTTATTTCGATCGGGCGATGATGTATTTCGCGTCTCTCTGCTGTGACAATACATATCCTACTTAAGCAATAATTAAGAAATAGAAAACATTTTCCGCGTTTTTATACAGTTATAGAAACACGCGTGGGAGTTTAGGAGTACGAGAAATAATCTGTTCTCCACGTTATTTCTATTTCTTTTATAATATAACTCAATAAAAAGATTTTGTACAAATTTAATATTTCAATTCAATTACAAATTCTCATTACATTACTGCGCTTGTCACGTTCGGCGGGAAAAGTCCCGTGTTTCTATACACAGTTATAGAAACACGCTTCTCGACCAATCAGCACGCGCGTGCTATAAATGTTATATTATAATCAAAGTCGGTGGTGGCTTGGAAAAACGAAGGTAGAAACATACGATTATTGTTGTAAAATGTCTTAAAAAGGTGAAATGTTCTTAAATGTTTAAACTTACGTTGTTTAAAATCATTCTCAACACTTAATTTCATGTTAAAATGAAACAAAGGTATAACAAACAATTAATAGCGACTACGCTTTATTTAAGAAACAGTTTTAACTAAAAAATGTTGCCTATGTTTGTCTATATTTTAACTCATGTAATAGATATTGCTATACATGCCGTGGTCGTAGCTATATTGAAACACTTTGGATCCTTCTTATAGCTAGTTGATATAAGAAATATTTCACGATTTACATCTTTTAAACGATCAGTCATGATCATGATCTCCGTTGATTACAGTGTTGCATAAATTGAGTACAGTGTTTTGGCTGTAAACTATTCACTCTTCGACTTCGTTGTTTAGCTATCGGTGGCCGAATAGTTTTAAATATATCCTTATAAAGTTAGTAATTGGTTGCTAGAATTCTAGAAAAAAATTAAGAAGAAGATATTATCTATAAGATTTTTAAATTTTTTTGGTTATTTTTCAATATAATGGCATTTACGTTACCGTTACACAAAATTTCACTTCACTTCCGCAAAAAGGGAAAACGGCCCGTGTCTTGAGACTCGTAGCGTTTCCAATGTTCAATCACATCCTGCATCGTTGGTCTTGCTGGTGGTTCAGCTTTCGTGCAGGTCTTCACCAGTTGTTTCACATTCCTGTTTGGAATTCTTTCTCTTTGATTTTCTCTACTTTCAGGGATAGGTAGTTCACAGATGGACATCTCACACACCAGAATCCCATAACTGAAGACATCGATCTGTGTGCGAAAACAAAAATATGCCATAATAAAAAAGAACGGTAAAAAAGTTTTTTACTGCCTAAATTAAACAAGGAAATCATTTCAAGGTTTCGATTTAAGGACCTTTGCCAAAATATCAAGACATTTTCGCATCCATTTTAAGTAGTTTTAAAGTAAATGGTCTATGTTAGTTAATTAAAACTACTTCTCAAGTCTCAACCACGTCACTCTTATCTACCACGTCTCAACTGAACATGATTACCCAGGTTATAAAAAAATTCAAACAAGTTGGCTTTATAGAGGGCACGACAATAAATTGATCTCTGAAGAATTTGGTTCTATTCTCATTACCTTAGGGTCCTGTCTAGCTTGCCCGGCTTCAGGTGCGGCGTAAAGAACTGCTCCTGGATTTTTAGTTTTACACATATCCATGAAATTGGCTGAACCATAATCTGATATCTTCGCTCTTCTTGGTGAACGATTTCCAATTTCTAACAACACGTTGGCACTGCTGATATCACGATGGATTATTGGCCTTGGTTTCTTTGTATGAAGGTAGTTGAGACCACATGCCACGTCCAAGGAAATTAATCTGACTTCCTCGTAATGCAGCCGCAAGGTTAGACGTCCCATATATGTACGTAAATTCATATCCATCAGTTCTGTCACGATTAACAGATGGTTATGATTATTTCTCTCTGCGCATATGAACTGTAGTAAATTCGGATGACGACACTGCGATGCAATATACACTTCACGTTGGAGATGCTCCAGATTATGTGGAGATATGATTAGTTCGTGATATTCTTTAACCGCTACTTTAGATCCATGAAAGTTTCCCTCATAAACGGCACCATAAGCCCCTCGTCCGAGTTCATTAGTTGAAACCACCACATCACCTTCTTCGATAGGGGTTCTAGACATAGCCTGTGATGTCAAATTGTCGATTTGTTTTTGAAGTTGCTGTATTTCATATCGCATAGCATATCGTTCATCCTCAAGACGCCGTATTTCATTACTCATCACGTTCTTTTCTATCTGATGTTGCTGAATTTCATTGTTTATCTGGTCGATACTGTCCCGACGATGCTGAATTTCACCTCTCATTTCATTCTTTTCTTTCTGAAGCTGCTGAATATCAACCTCCATTTTGCTGTTATCGCCCAAACGTAGCCGAATTTCACGGCTCATCTGATTTCTTTCTTCTTGAAGACGATGAATTTCATTGCTCATTGCATCATTTTCTGCCTGAAGTTGTTGCTTCTTACTGTTCGTCTGGTCCATGCTGTTCCGAAGTTGCTGATTTTCATTTCCCATCTCATTATTCTTTCTCTGAAGCTTCTGAATGCTGTTCTCCATTTTGATTTTATCACCCTGAAGTTGCTGAATTTCATTTTTCATCTCATTTTTTTCTGTCTGAAGCTCCTCAATACTGTTCTCCATTTTGGTCTTATTGGTCCGATGTTGCTGAATTTCAATTTTCATGCCATTACTTTCTTTTTGAAGCTGCTGATTACTGTTCTCAATTTTGCTCTTTTCACCCTGAAGTTGCTGAATTTCAATTTTCATGCCATTGTTTTCTTTTTGAAGCCGCTGAATACTGTTTTCCATTTTGCTCTTTTCACCCTGAAGTTGCTGAATTTCATTTCTATCCCGATTCTTTTCATTTTTAAGTAGCTGAATTGTATTCTCCGTTTTGATCTTATCGGCCTGAAGTTGCTTAATTTTACTTTTCATTTCATTTTCCTCGTTCCAGAGTTGCTGAATTTCATTTTTATTGTCAACGTTTCTTTGCCGAAGTGTTTCCATTTCATTCTTTAGCGCCTTCTTATCTTCTCGAAGCTGCTCAATTTCATCTTCCTTACCAGCGCATTCATTGTTGATTTTTTCCACTTCTTTTTCCGTTTGATCGATATCTTCTTCAAGTTCCCGTATTTTCCTGTTCTTACTTGCGATTTTCTCTTGGAGTTCCTTCATTTTATCTTCCTGAAGTTGCTCAATTTTGTTGCTCTTGTCAATATTTTCTTGCCGAAATGTCTCCTTTTCCCTTTCCGTCGTCTCGTTTTTAAGTCGCAAAGTTGCGATTTGCTGGGAAAGTTCTTCGGTTTCATTCCCCTTTTCATTTACAACTTTCTGGAGTTCATGAACTTCTTGTCCTGAATTCTTCTAAAAAAATCATGATAAAATTTCTCGAATCAAAGAAACACAATTTATAAACTATGTATAACATCATAGGGTTACGCTATAAACTGCAATTTATTGGTTTCATTGCGGTCATGATAACCTGAACACCATCTAAAACACGAGTTTCACAGAATCTATGTAGTAATCTAATGAAGTATGTATAATCTAATACTTTTCCAATATTTTAGATCAAAATACTGTCAATTTTTGTAAATACGAGTCCGCAGTCTTGTTCAAAGTCAATAATAATGCAATAAAACAAGGAGAAAATTCAAAATAATTCAACGAAAATGGCGCTCTTAATATAAAAAGGTCCCTTTGAGTCAAAATACCGGTTTCAGTTGAAAATGGAGATGGCTAATCTTTTCTAGGATCGTAATTTGGCATCGACACGTCTCCCGAAGCAAAAATATACTCCGTTGCTGCCCAAATGTAAAAAATAAAAGCATATTGAAAGTTTACAAGCTTCAACGGGGCCTTTTCTGAGTGGATAACGGTTGACAACCTTGGTATGTGTTGATTTTAATGTTTTCTCACTCCTCGAAAGCTCAAGACGCCATTTTTAACTACGATTTGGAAAGTTAACGATGCCCTTGAGGACAGTTAACTTTAACTAGGTTTTAACTGCAGTTAAGGCTAACTACACTTTTATACAACCGGCTTAACTATGTGATTAAAGTTAACTACTTTTTAACTACTTTTTAACTGCAGTTAGCGCTAACTACGTTTTTATACAACCGGCCACTGACGATGACATAGTCGAAGCTATGCCAGTGCTTTGAGCGCGGGTGCATCCATGTTGTTTTTTTATGGGTAAGGGAGGCGGTAAGGTAGTGTTTGTGATCAGAAGATCATGCTCTGCACAAGTCTGGAGGAGTAGTAGACCGTTGCTGTTATAGCTGCCAGCCCCATGCTTTACGATCACATCTTTCCAGGTGGTAATCAATAACGATGAGCTTGTCGAGTGTGAACGTCAAGAGAACGTTTTAAGAGGCTGTCTCCGTAAAAACCGACCGATGATCCAGAGGTAAAAATTGAAAGAAGCTTAAATCTCGATTACTGATAGCTATTTTATAGCTTTGCTAAAATACGATTTTGTGACGTTCTGGCACTCTGTTTTCTTGACGATTTTTAAACCTATTTTTATCATAATGACAGAACCGGAAATTGGCGGCAAAATCAGGAAAAAATTCCCGTAAAACTATATATTCGCTTGCTCTCCGCTTCTTTGAACTTCCCGATAAATCACTCGATTTTGTGAGAATATTTAATTGTTTAACTGGATCGTAATAGCCGTATTTTGTAAAATATACTGATATAGTTATAAAAACATTCGGTTCCAAAAACTGTACTGGAATGTCAAACTATAACATATGCTATTTATAGCAGATCTTTAATACCGAATTTTGCAAAAGTTCAGCGCACCTAGGATTTGTGCCTTGTATGGTTTTTGGTACCTAGGTTTGGAGTTTTCGTTTCAATAATAAAAGTTTGCTGCACAGCATTTTCGTCTTTAAAATCTGTTATAATTTATATTGAATATTTCGGCGATGAGGATATTTTATACTAATCAACGAATCAAAGCACTTTGTCAACACTTGCCAATGTTATCGTGGAATACGTTAAGGAATGTAAAAATGTCTTTATAAACTCTTCTATAAACAAACGCTTACAGTTCTCAGGTGAATGTATACTATTTTGCAAGTCTCTATAAAATCAAAATGAAATTTAAATTGCATAGCTTTGACCCTAGAGCGCGGGGGTTCTGTATATATATAGAGAAACGTCGCGCATTATAACTTTGTGCATAACCTAAGAAATGTTGTGAATCAAACTAAAAATGATGGGGAAAAAACATCAATTACATTATTCAGTGAGGCAGTGCCAAGAATAGGAGGTGTGTATTGCTGACGCTAATTTGTTGACATTTAATTAGCACAATCAATTAATGTCGATTTCAAGTTATGAGTCTTATTACATAGTGTGATAATGTCATGCCATGGAAGGCGAGGAAAGAAATACATGTTCGTTTGCTGAAAAAGTTACCTTCCCTTGTGGGAATTCTCGCGGTTGCACCGAAACTGTTAGGCTTGTAGATTGTTGTGATGATGTTTCAGCACATTTGAGGAAATATCACTTGTCAAAATCTAAAGTTACAGAATCTGAGTTAATTTTAACACGTGCCGGGTATTTTGACATCAACGATGCTCAAAAAAGGTGTATGTGGATATGTCCTAGTCATCGACATGGCTTGGGAAAATTCTGGCGTTCGGCGACACCTTGTCAGCATCCACGTCACAAGCACGATGTGAAGAAAGCATGTAAAGGACGGGAAGTAATCAACCTTGATCGTACAAAGGATATTTTTTTGTTATATGGTGTAGTTGTTCCGCTTGGATCCCGTTAGTATTCTTGTACAAAATATTCAAATTTTTATCCACCCTGTAGTTAGTAAAAACGCCATCGTATAAAAATGAAAGATATTGTACCTGCGACCTTGCCATTATTAGTGAGCTTAAGCAAGTGACGTTTCTGACAACACGTACGGCATGAGCAACGTAAAAAGACTGGGTCAAGATTGTTGATTCGCGAATTCGATTGTGATGAAAAAGTCACTTGCTTAAGCTTACTGTTGCTCACATGTGGTGACGTGGTGAATAAATTACGCGAACTCACCTGGACACTGAAGGGATATTAATATTTGAACAAGCACAATTTTCAATTTCTTGTGTGGGAAATTGTATGCTGATGCATGAAATTTCTACCTTTGCTCTGGCCTCTTACCGTTTTAAATGCATGACGTGGAAGCGCGCGTGTGTTGGTAAATGCAATAATATACTACAGTATTTGGGTTGTCAATGTTTCCCCATTCCCATATGTGTTTATTCAATCATATACCTTATGGTAAGAATTGTAAACGATTATAATGTAGATAGGCCTTAATTAATCCTATAACTTTTTAGCTATTTGTACACAATGCTTAAAAAAACACTGAAAAAATGTCTGGAACTGCAAAGTGGGTCAAATTTGATGGGCGTGCAGAGGCTACACAACCAGGTGAAGAACTTAATGAGGAGAAAGTTCAAGAAGAAAGGTAACTATCGTGCAAAAGGTCAAGCTGAAAAGAAACAAGTTTATTAGCTTTTTTTGCAACTTAGATTGGCAAAGCAAATGGCAAAAATTGCAATTGAAGACCATTTGGAACACTCAAGTGCTGCCACTCCCATTAACGTAAGGCCTTCCAGCGAAACAGCAAAGAGTCCTAACTGGATGCCAAGCTTTTCGCAAGATATGTCAGATTTTGAATGTGATATACCACAGATTCCAAAGACTACAGAAGCCGTGTATGCTTACAACAACGCTATGGAAGACGTTTCCCGTCATGCTCCCAAACATCAATTCACGCCTTTGACGTATCAGCTGAACAAGTCTTGGGAGGATACATCTGAACATGAACGTTCTGAATGCATCGAAAAAGCAGAGGAGGGAATGAAACTTATTTGTGAAATAATTGCTCCCGATGATGGTGAAGCTCTTTTTCAGTCCGTTTGCAATTTGTCGTCAGATAGGAATACCACAGAGCCAGTGTCGGATGATCTTGTCGCGCTAATGACCGCATTCAGAGACGCACCCACTAGAAATCTGAAGACTCAAATACTAAGCATTTACGCTTATGAATACTCTGCTCCCAAATTGCAGAAATTGCATGAACCATATTGTAAAGTAACGATGTGGCAAATAAAGCGAGCAAGGGAACACGCAAAAAATGTTGGCCCGGGGACACCAGTTGAGAAAGTGCATCGCCATCGCGTCCGCCTCGACATGGGTAAAGTTGATCATTTTGTCAGTTTCGTAGACAGGCCATACTTTTACCAAGACACTGCTTATGGTACAAGGAAATTAAAGTTTGATAGCGGTGAGAAAATTATCATCCCAAACGTCATTCGTACAGTGACAAGATCGACGATGATTGCCCAATACCTCGAGTATTGTAAAGAAGAATCTTTTGTTCCTCTGAGCCGAGCGACTCTATACCGTATACTTGAAGTCAGGGAAGCAGCCCAGCAGAAATCTTTAGCTGGCATTGATAACACTGCCGCGGATGGGGCAGAGGCCTTTAGCGTCCTTTCCCAGATTATCGATCAATTGCAAAAAACTGGTGTGGAGAAAAAATGGTGTTTGGATGTGAAGAAGCGACTGAACGATGGAAAGCTTTATCTCAAAACAGATTACAAGGTTCACTGCAATGAGGAAGAAAGTCCTTGTGGCGATCATTGTCGAAGATATGCCTTGAGTGATCCAGATGACAAGCACTTTAGAGAGAAATGTGACCATCAACATTCAGTCATATGCGAGCAGTGTGAAAGTCTATTTGATACATTTCATGATATTGAGAAGATGATTGGTCAACAAAAGGACAAATTCGAATCTGAGGAACAAAAAGAAGACATGCTTTGGGACTTCAAAAAATCCCGAGATAACATTTTTCGTTGGAAAGCTCATGTACTAAGGTCTGTGAACCAAGAACGCGCAAAGCAGGATGTCATAGCCAACTTGCAAAGCAACTCCGTTCTGATTATTATGGATTGGGCAATGAAGTTTTTGCAGTTGAAGCACCGAGAGAAACAAAGTGACTGGTACGGTAAGAGAGGTTTAAGCTGGCACATAAGTAGCGTGGTGTTCCGAGATCGTATTACATCCAAAATAAAAGTCATGTCTTTCGCCCACCTTTTCAATTCCTGTACACAGGACTGGTACGCTGTTACATCAGTTCTTGAAGATCTTCTGCATAATATTCGAAAGCAAGTACCAAATATCTCGGTGGCTTATCTAAGGTCGGATGAAGCTGGTTGCTACCATAATAATTATCTTATTCCAGCTGCAAAGGATGTTGGGGAAAGAGTTGGGATACGTATTGAAAGATACGATTATTCGGAGCCACAACAAGGCAAGGACATTTGCGACCGCATTCTTTGTCCTATGAAGCAAGCCATTCGACAACACTGTTGTGAGGGCCATGATATATTGACTGCATCGGATATGAGGGAAGCTCTCCTCAAAAAGAAGATAAAAGGCACAAGTGCCTCGGTTAACATGGTAAACGAAGCAAAGAAAACCATAGAAGTTCATAAGATTGACCAAATCAGTTCTTTTCATAACTTCAAAATTGAAAAAGATGGAATACGAATGTGGAAAGCGTTTGGAATTGGTCCTGGAAAGTACATTAGTTCTAACGACATTTATGTTAATCACCAACAACCAACTGAACTTGAAACTCCTAGCAATGAGGATTTCTTTAAGTTTTCGGATTTACGAGAACTAAAACAAAAGGACGGAGAGGCTGGGCACAGCGGCGTTTTTGAATGTTCTGAACTGGGATGTATGGCGATTTTTGACACATTTTCGGATTTACAACTCCACCTGGATGTTGGGGTTCACTCAAGCGACTATAGGAACAGCGAAACAACATATGATACTATCCGACGACAGTGGGCCGAGAAACTTTCGTCTGTCGTAGAATCAGATGTTATTGGTTTATCTAGCAAAGTTACAAAATCATCCAGTGAAAAGCACTTGTTCCAGAGAGAAGGATGGGCGTTGGCCAAGGGAAGAAAAGGATCTGCGCGATTTGAAGAACACGTGCGTGCTTATTTAACAACGAAGTTTGATGTTGGCGAATTAACGGGAAATAAGTCTGACCCAGAACAGGTTGCTGTCGATATGAGAAATGCAAGAGACGAGCGTAACATGCGCCTTTTCGAAAGAGAATGCTGGTTAACAAAAACCCAGATTCAAGGATTTTTCTCGCGTCTTGCTGCTTCCCGCAGAAAACGCCAGGTCGCATCTGTGGAATCGAATGTTGGTGAAGACAGTGATGAAATTCTGGATTGTTTGGCGGAAGATGCGCGACATACTGATTTGATAAACGAAATAGAAAATAGTCTGAACTTAAAACACCCTATTATTTATGATATTTATGATTTATGTTGCTACGTTCGGGTTGATAAACTGAACTCTTTCAATGTTCCAATGCTTAAGAAGATGTGTGCATACTTCGAGGTCGCATTTCGCTCTACGGACAAAAAGGCTGATCTTCTAAAAAAAATACAAGAGATTATTTTTTCATGTCAGTGTTTTACGGAAAGATGACATATATTAGGCAATTTTCTTAATTTTGACTTCAACAGAAACTGATGAAAATAAAAGTTTTTCTCAGACACCTATAAGTTGTTTGATTTATCCGACTTACAACACTATTAAAACAGTAAATTAGCAAATAGTAATTAGTAAATAGTAATATATATATATATATATATATATATATATATATATATATATATATATATATATATATATATATATATATATATATATATCGACTTGGAAATTTTTCCACAGAAAAACTGTAAGCGTTTGTTGTAGAAGAGTTTATAAAGACATTTTTACATTCCTTAACGTATTCCACGATAACATTGGCAAGTGTTGACAAAGTGCTTTGATTCGTTGATTAGTATAAAATGTCCTCATCGCCGAAATATTCAATATAAATTATAACTGATTTTAAAGACGAAAATGCTGTGCAGCAAACTTTTATTATTGAAACGAAAACTCCAAACCTAGGTGCCAAAAACCATACAAGGCACAAATCCTAGGTGCGCTGAACTTTTGCAAAATTCGGTATTAAAGATCTGCTATAAATAGCATATGTTATAGTTTGACATTCCAGTACAGTTCTTGGAGCCGAATGTTTTTATAACTATATCAGTATATTTTACAAAATACGGCTATTACGATCCAGTTAAACAATTAAATATTCTCACAAGATCGAGTGATTTATCGGGAAGTTTAAAGAAGCGGAGAGCAAGCGAATATATAGTCTTACGGGAATTTTTTCCTGTTTTTGCCGCCAATTTCCGGTTCTGTCATTATGATAAAAATAGGTTTAAAAATCGTCAAGAAAACAGAGTGCCAGAACATCACAAAATCGTATTTTAGCAAAGCTATAAAATAGCTATCAGTAATCGAGATTTAAGCTTCTTTAAATTTTTACCTCTGGATCATCGGTCGGTTTTTACGGAGACAGCCTCTTAAATGACTTGAACATGTGATTATTGTACTTATGCAAATTATGTTATTTGTTTGTCGTAGCGAACATTGAAAGGAGTGGAAATAACTCAGTCGTAAGTGTACCTTTTCTGAGTCTGTATGCTTTGGAGTAGCTATTATGGGAATTTATTTGTGTTTTGACATTTCGTTATAGTCGAATCGCATTCGCGTGTTTACAATAAAGATGATATTTCAATTCCGTGGGTCTGTGAGATATATTAGATTGTAACTGAAACGAATTCGAGACGCCGTAGACAGTGTTTGGTACAACAAAGAAAATACATATTTTACAAACGTAAACAAATATCCTGACAATTTTACGGCCATTCAAATTAAACAAACCTTTTTTGGTAAAATTAAGATATCATCGCAAGGTTCTTCAACTGATCCTTTTTCT